AGTATGTTGGACCAGCTCCTCCTTCAGCACTGCATACAACTCATTCCCATAAGCCACTTCACCCACGAATTGAGGAGGTAGGTGTTGTGCAAGAACAGCTTGGAAGAGGAAATCTGACTCCTTGTGGACACCATTTGGAAGGATGATTTGAGAACTTCTATATGCTCGTACATGTTTGCCAGCAGAAGCATTGAGGAGAAGCATTGACAACTGAGCAATGAGCTTTGAGTGGAACCATCTCGAAATATACTCATGGAGGTAAGACGGATCTCCATAGAGTAAAACAGCTCCTACATCAATAAATGCTCAAGCTCAAATGAATCTCTAAAAAAACAAACTCACCTCCAATTGAGTCGATAAAGGCAAAAGAGAGCCTCTATATGTTTTCTTTCAGTTTCCACCATTCTTCAAAAGCAGGAAATGGTATATAGGGATGGACAACAAAAGGGCCTCCAGATCCTTCTAGCGTAGCAGATTTTTCGAACATTTGGATGGTTGCATCCAGTCTTGCATCAAGGATTTCTACTAACAGAAACCATAAACACACAGTACACAGTACATTTCACACATTTTTATATTTTTCCCTTGAAAAGAACTGTGGTTGTTCAAAGAGCCCATTGGGGATTACAATACCGATGTAGTGAGACGAATGGTGAGGTTGTGCTTGACGGGCGACGCCGCAGACATGGGGTTTGTGGAGACAAAGGAGTGCATGTATGGCTACGTTACCTGGAAGTGGTGTGAAAGCAGCAGATATACGTTCCATTCGCCAGGCTTGTTGCTGGTAGGGCTTGCCAAGGAACTGAGGGTGCATCAATATCTCACTCTTTCGGATATTAGTGCGTTGACGAGTGATAACTTTGAGCTGCCTCTTTTGGACATGATTCATGCACGAATGAGGCTTCATGCAGGAAGTGAATGCCTTCTTTCAGATATCTTCCATGGGGCATGTGGCTCGAATAAGGCAATGACAGTGAAGATGCAGATCGCATCTAAAATCGTTTTTGGGGAGGAAGCTGCACAGTTTTACGTGTCGAACGGGAGTAAAAACGGCTTCAATCACTCGGGTGATGAAGGCATGGTGCTCCAATGTGGTACTGACTTTCAGCATCCATTTGGCAACAGTGAACAATCTGTGATTACAAAAATGTACATAAACTCTCTTGGCGTTGACATGAGGGTGTTTGCAAGACATGGAGGTACACTTTTGTGACGTGATGGGGCTGATTTTGTTTCTTTTGCAGACAGCAAAATTGAAATATGGGCCCAGGCAAAAGGCAGGACATCCCCTCTAGGCTGGAGCCAAGTAATTGAGTGCATTAAAGCGTGCTTCCAAGAATGTTTCAACCTCGAACCAAGTGTGAAGAAGTTCTGTGTGGTCTTTAGTTTGCACGGTTTCACATTTGAGAAAGTGGATCTCTAGACTCTTTTCAAGGTAAGCCAGGCTTTATTTCTGTTATGAAACTAACTATTGACCTTCAGGAGGAGGGGATCAGAATGGGAGACACAGCCAAGTTCAGCAAGATGTATGAACACACTCTCCTCGTTGATGGAACTGGCTTGAATGTTTTCATGCTGGATGTTATGCAGCAATACTATAATTATTAAGACTACAAGGAGCATCATTTTATTCCACCAGAGAAAACAGAAGGGTTAAAGGAATCTTATGATTTAGAGTGTTTTTTGGAGAGTTTTTGAATCATAGTTTGTAAGTTCTTTGATTTTATCCTTTTATTATTATTTTCCTGGTTGTTGTTGATCGTTTATAACCAAAGATTTTGTTCTCCTTGGCTTCTTATGTTCTTGTCCGTGAACCATACACTGTAGTTGTCATCTTCATCATAGTCTACAGATTTTCAAAGCAGAAAGAAAAATCTAAACTAGTTAGTCACAGCTCTTGATCATGAGCTGCATTCCCAGCCTTGGCTTGAGGGTGACGGAAGAAACTAGCCAGTGTTTATAATGGGGCGAGAGACCCAAGTGATAATGCTAAAGAATCATGACTAAAATAAGCTTGGCCTCTAGCTTGAGCAGTAATCCTTGGATTATTTTTCTTGTATCTCACTAGGTGAGAGGGTGTTCATGAGCAATTTTATAAGGTGTGAATGCATGGAATATAGAAATGAAATGCATCCTAAAGAAAAAATGACTCTCAACCTAAGAATTTAAATTTTCAAGACTCAACCAACATCCTTTTACTTACAACTTAATATGGGTTTACATTAACATAAATTCTCATGACTTAATAATATGCCTAACATTAAACATCATGCTATATTTCTAACATCTAACACCAACATTTGCAAAATGCAAATGAATACTTAAGATTTGATCACGAATATTATATCTTTGGATATTTATATTGCACTCCACTTGGTCACCTTGACCAAGCCACACCATCATCAATAGTTCCAATCAACACTTTGAACTTGGAACTTTATCCCTTAACCTCACAAGGACTTTGTCCTTGTTTTTGGTTATAAGATCACCTAGTGATCTAACTTTGGCACCTTAATAGGTTTGCCAATGGGTGCTAGGTCTTCCAGATCTTTAAGTTGTTGACCATAACCCCGGGGGCATCCCCCACACTTAGCGATGCACCCAAGCCAGCCCTTCCGGCCAAAGGTCCATGGCAACTAAGACTGGGTGTCCCCATCTCATTCACCACGTCCTTGGTACCACTTACACCAAAGTGTTCAAGTTAGATATGCCGAGCTTTCAGACTAAGCAATCTAACCGTGTATCACGACTCCGAGGCATCCCTCGCTTGGCGGTGTGCCCAAACCAGTCTCCCCATTGAGAGTCCATGACCACCGAAATATGAGTGTCCTCATATTCCAAACCATCACCACGCCCTAGTGAGTTGGGACTCAAACCCAAGCACTAGAGGGTCGGGACTCGAACCCAACCTCCGTATATGCATCTACGGAAGGCATCACATAGGATGCCTGGCATGACTCCCCACGCCGGTGCACCAACTTATACTTGAAGCGTGTTATAGATCACAGCTTAGGAACCTAGTTCCTCCACACTGCCAAGTCCTCTCACTTGACATGTCTGTGATCATGCATGGACTCCTCCATGCTCGGCCTCATGGGCCACCCCTTTGAAGTTGGCTTCTTCAACAAGGGTATTCATTCCCCCGACTTGCCAATCTCACTTAGCAAGTTATCCGACCATCGTAACATGGTTCATGTATAAGCGTGAAAGTCCTCAACCATCGACTTTTGTTCAAAGCCCTCTCTTTGAACACTCGGGATCTACTTCCCTAACTTTGATAGCCTTGCCTCTTGGCAAGCTTCAAGACCACACTTCTACTATGCCACTCTGATTTCGTGCGCTCTATAAACCATTTACACTTGGATGTTTAGGTATTTATCTATTTAGGGGAACGTTCAAGGAACTCTGTTCCTTAGCTTGCTAAGGTCTCTCCATTTGCAAGCTTTCCAATTACCATATACCCTAACATGGACAATCCCATGCTTTAAACTCTCCATGGCATCCCGGTCGCTAGTAACAACATGCTTGAGCACCCACTTGATTCTCCACTCCCAACTTCCATAACCACTCTTGGTCATGCTTGTCAATTTCTATATGGATCTGAAATAAAAGGTATTACACACACAAGAGATATGCTCTAGCTTACCCATCCTTGTCAACCAGTGTACCAACTTTCGTATCGCCTTGTGCAGCAAAACAATAATTTTCCCACCATTTGTCATTGTACTTTCCCAATCCCAGACATGGAAACAAGGGACAGAGCTGTCATTGCATTCTTGTAGACATTGTAGTCTTGAAGGGTGCTGCTTTCAAGCAGTTTCCCAGCAAACAGCAGCCGCTGCCTTCTTCCTGCCTTATCCCCTCTTTCAAAGTTTAGATGCGAGCCGAAGACCTCAGATCAAAGGGGATTCTCCTGCCACTCACTTTTACACACGATTAACAGTGAGAATTACAGCTTAGGAGACTTACTTGTTCTCACAAAGATCCTCATGCCGGCTCCACTGAAGAGAATTTTTGTTGAGCGTGTCAGCTGTACAATAGTGAGAAGCAGAAGCTTTCACGCGGTTGCAATCTCAGTAGTCAGTCCTTGTACAACACCAAGCTCTAAACCCTTTCCGAGCGGAAGTTTTCTTCTGGGATCAAAGCCTTAGCTCTAAACCCTTACTGAGTGACCTAATTAAATAGGGCAGCTCTAAACCCTTAACAGATAACAAATCATATTTAAAATGAATAAAAAATAAATTTATTTACCATTTTATTACTCTAAATCAAGCAAATTCAAATCTAAATTAAACACCTCCATAAACATATTGCTCAATATCAGATATGCTAGGAATCACAATGTCTTGATCATCAATATTCATAAAATGTAATTTTATATCTTAATTTTATTGTGTCTATTTTAATACATGAGGAATGATAGTACTTACGCAGCTTTATTTAGTTCTAAACATTGAATAACTAACTAAAGATGAACTTTATTTTTATAATTTTTTTGATTGATTTTAATTTAAAAATAGTGAAAGGACAAATAATATTCAACCATTTCATATACAAAATGCAGATATTAGTATTACATTAACCATATTGATTGAAATTGTATGAGACTGTATTCTTCCATCTTCTTCTTCTTGTTATTTGATCTAATGGAAAACTTTGCATGTAACAATGCTTCGTTTGTTTAATAGTAATGTTATTTTTATTTATTAATCCAATTGATCATATAAAATTTATTATTATAAGCATGTTTGTAATTTATAAACACAAGATTAATCTTATTGCATATTAACCATTAGATGATAGAATTAAAAAAACTATATTAAAAAGGGTTTAAGAAAGTTTATAAATTATAAACATGTTTATAAATTATAAAAAATAAAATTAATCTAAATGAATAACAACTATCAGATGGTATATTCACAACTATTTAGTCCCTTTACAAGTTTGCTTAAACAAACTAAAAATCACAATTGCAAAAATAATATATACTAAACTCTAGATTATCTGGGATTGCAATAAATCTAATAAATTAAAACAAGATTAATACTTAACAAGTATTAGAATAGTTCAAAGACAAAGATTTTCCAAGGCCGGAATCTCGCTACTCTCTCCCTTGACACATCCGCTCTCGCCCAGCCTCGGCCCAGCCGCTTCCCCCTCCACAACCCTGTCCTCCTCCACACCGCCGCCATTCCTCCGCCCATCCACCACCACGTCTCGCCCTTCCTCGATCAGCCCCCCAGCGAGCGTATCCACGCAGCTCCGTCCCTCTCGTCCCTGCTGCTCGCGCGCGGCATCGTCTACCAGTGCGTCCTCCCACTGCGTATAGCCAGGGATCGGAGCTTCAGCGCAAGGACCAGGGCTGCCTTCATCATCGTCATCGCCAAACACTGCCGATCGGACCTTCTGCGCCGCAAGCCGGAATGCTTCCTGGATCGAGAGCGAGGCGAATGGATTTACTCGATCGATCGGGCGAGATAGAGATAGAGATTATCCTTACCTGGATTCCATCGGGGCTCAATGCCGTGTCCTCCAGACCCGCATCCTCGATCCGTGGAGGCTTCACGGATGACAGCAATCCTCCAGCTGCTCCTGCGGGAACTTCCATTGAATCGATTGCGAGAGATCGCGAGGGTTTCAAATGCCCTAGCTCGCAATCCCAGCCGTCCAACCACGAACGGTTAACTGCTGCACACGTGGCTACATTACTTTAAAACGCCGCGAATTTTAGGGTTCTTGGAGATGATCACTGTTTTCGTGGATGTAGATGATACGCTCGTGTTCTTCAATCCGGAAGGGAAATTCTGTGTAGCGGGAGATACCGAGGGCCCTTACGAGCTCGTGCATGGTGGGAAAGAGTTCTTGCAGGCGCTGCGATCCATTCCAGGTTTGCAGCTCAATTTCTTTAGCGGCGGCCCGAGATCCAGGAACGTCGGCCTCGTCGATCAGATCCTCTGCGACGCGTTTGGTGATGGAGAGTGTGGCAAAATCAGGGTTTTCTCTGCGGAGGATCTCTTGCAAGGGGATCCTCCCAAGAAAAAGCTCGAGGGCTTGATCGAAGGGATCGATCTAGAGCAAACAATGGTGGTGGATGACACGGCCTATCACTACGCTGCGCCGGGAGAGGAAAGGAATTTTCTTCAGATCTACGCGTGCTACTGCGAGAAGCACGATCACTACGCAGGCAAGGTGTTTATCATGTGGCGCGACAACAATCTCATCCGTGCTCTCGGTCTCATCCTGTGGGCTTTGGAGATTTCCAGTTCCGAGCCCTGCTCGCCGGTGGATGCCTTGTCTTTGCTCCAGTGGGGATCGTCATCCGGGGACGATGACTATCGCCACAACGCGACCAATTCCCAGAGGGTCTACGACTTGGGATTGGAGGCAATGCGGCGAGTTAATCCGGATCTGGAGCTTCTCGATCGGGAGAAGCTCGGGATCTATCCCTGGTCGTGCGAGCTTCTAGAGGCTCTCACCGGCGAGCAGGACTCCCACTTTGGCAGCACCAATCTCTTTGACAAGGATCAAGTTGAAAGGGTCCGGTTGAGCTTGTCTCCCGTGTCGAGGGTAGCGATCGATCCAGCTCCATCGCTGTTGGTGGGAAAGGACGATGCGGCGGAGGTGAGAATCCAGTGGATTGGCGAGGAGAAGGAAGCGATTGGAAAGCAAAAGCTTGTGAAGCTCCCAATTGGGACGACTGGAAAGGTGGCGAAGGCAACGCTGGAACACATTCTTCCAGTGGAATCTGGGGTGCTCATGGTTGAGCCATGGGACGAGGTTGACGACGTCGAGATTCTAGATCATACTCACTTGTACACGTATGAAGGCTGCAAGATTTCCTTGTTTTGATTGAATCCATAATCAATTGATCTAGAAGTGATCATGCACCCAACTGCTGCAGCTAGGTTCGTGATGGAGTACATAGTATTGGCTATATAGTTTTACATTTGAGATGCAAAAATTTAAATGAGTAAAAAAAAAAAAAATTGTTGTTAATATTTTGTAAGCTTATATAATATTTATTTTCATAATCTACTGTTTTAGTTTGTTTATTCCATCCAAATTTCACTATGTTGTGTATATATATTTCCGAAAGTCTAGTGGAACATTTGTAAACATTCACATAAAAACTTGAAATTCTCAACCGCAAACTTATTCAACTTATTCAATGTTGTTGTTGACCATAACTCGCTCTGAATCTTGGGGAAATACACAAGATCTTTCAAAGCTCCCAGTATTTCCATTTGGCACCTATGTCCACGTGGTAAACCTTAAACTAAACTATAAAATGAATTTACAATTGAATTTACTCTAAAGGTTTTCACGATTGAGCTGCCGTGGTAGAGGTGTTAAGAGCTACGTCAACAAATTTCCCATTTTGCTTGGGCAACTCAATTCCACTCTCCAAATCCGGGGATTCACTCTCTTTGGCTTCCTTCTCGTCGGGCACCTGCCACGTCAGCAAGTTACCAGGCTTGTAATATATGTAGTGGCAAAAGAGCTGGACGGCGCCTCCGGCTAGTCCAAGAACATTGGGAACCTGAATTGAGCAAACTTCGTGGTTAATTCCCTATAAATATTACTGCAAAATCTTACCAGTATGTAAATGTCGTGCTTCAAGAGTGCGTACACAAACCACAGGGCACTGTTGATGAAGACGGTCAAGCACAGGTAAAAAGGTAAGAACTCGACACTTTTGGTCTTGAAAATCCGGTACTGCAAGACAGAGGATTTGTGATTAGCGATGATAACAAGGAAGGTTAAGGTTTTAATCCGCCAACTTACCATCACGGACAAAGGTGACCAATACATTGCGATGTTGAGGACGATGCAAAGAACTCCAAAGATTGTAATCCTCGTGTCCTTGCTATGGATTCCGAGACTTATGCCAAAGCCCACGGCCGCCATGAGCGCCAAGCACGAAAACGTATAAAGGGATGTTCTTTTCTGCAAATTCAAAGGGGGCAAAGTTGGCAAAGAATCGATCACCCTTAAAACAAATCCTTACCAATGCCTTGGGCGATTTCCTCGCGTAGAACAAGAAAAGCAAGACGTAGATCACGTTGAGAACCGTCCCAAGCCCATTGATGGTGACGACCAGCATTGCGTTTTTGTTGATTGGCGAGCCATACAGAACCCAGAGAATACAATTTAGGAGTGAAGCGATATAGGGCACCGATGAGAAGGATTCCGTGGATTTCTTCTTTGCAATCCTTATGAAAGTGAGTCTGCAATGGCAAAGCAAGAATCAGATTGGGAAAAGAGGATCATAGCAAGAAAAAGAGTGAAAACATACATCGAAGACAAGAACATCAACGCTGCAACAACATTCCCAGCCACTCCAATAATCGTTGCTGCGATCGCCATCCTGCTCTAAATCCCGTAACCCAAAGCCTCAGTTTTATAAGATAGGCAATACCTTTTTTACTGGCAAAAAGGCTCCTTTTGGGTTCATAAAATCTTATCCATTCAATTTCTTATCATAGAAACTAATGCCAATTGTATTATTATAATACATGTTAATTATTTTAAGTATATCTTCTTCAAACCAAGCATCTGACTCTTACTGTCATGGAACATAAAATCTACTAGTTTTATAACTTCCACCATAACTTATTATGTACCAATGTTTCAAACCCTCAGCTAATCTGACTACAGTAGTACCAATCCCTTCAATAACCCAAGCCTAATAATACTTTTTTAGCCATCCATTCATTTACCAACAAAAAATTTATCAGCAGCCAGTTAACCATTGACTTTTTATATGACTTTTAACCTTGGCCATCTGCATAAATTTAGTTCATGTCATTAATCTTTGGAGTTTAAATAACAAATCCCCCACTCCTATTTAAATCATCTGGAACAAATTTTTCCTGTCATTGACAGAGATGGTTGTGCAAAGATAGCCAAATTTTTATGGTTATGTGAAGTTTAACAGTAATTCCTTTGATCTTACCCTGGTTCTTCTACACCAAGAGAAAGTATCTACGAACAGGCTGGATGACTGCTCAACTTGCAAGGCTATTTTAGCAATTCCCTTTCATTCCAGTGGGACCAAAGCACCAAAGTTCATGGTTTTTCCACGGGAAATCTTGTAGAAATGGAAGAAGACAACATTGAAATATCGTCATACTTGAGATTTTTCGGCCATACATATGGTTGGTATTGCAAGAGCTAGGAATCTCTTCTCTGGCTGTGCGATTAAATCTGGCTACAGTAGAGCAGTACGAGCAAAATCCCAACAAACAAGTTGTGAGCAAGTCGGTGTTCTTTGTATTTTCCTTCCTCGACATGTTTTCCATGCCTCGAAATGACTCGCAAGCCAATCAACGTTGGAAGAGCAAACGATGAAAACATCAAACAATTGTACAATACGGACCAACATGGAAAAAAAATCAGTCTATCTGATCGCTACAAGTCACCTTCCACGTCAGCGGGTCCCGCTCCACATCAGCTATGACTCGAAACAGCTCAGCATAATTGCCACGTGGATTTTGAGCACACACGGTCTTTTATACCGTGAATTGTGTTTGTGTGTGTGCTCCTTTTTCTTCCCCTGCCCCCCATGCGTGTAGCCTCTCTAGGGTTTCCCCGTTCTTGTGTGCCACTGGAGTGGAATCGCGGCACGCGGCGAATCTTCCGGCATTTCCAAGGCTGTAAGATTATTTAACAGCGCCTAGAATCGCGAGCGCGAGCTGGAAATCTTGCGAATCCGGGGCTACATTCATGGGCGTGGATTTGGAAGTGGGGAGGAATGGCGAGCGGCAGCCTCTGCTGGCCGGGAAGAGCAGCAAGAGCGCTGGTAGCAGCAGCCGGGGCAAGAGACGGGAGAAGCGAGTGAGGGGAAGTGTTCTCTACACGGTGTTTTGCACCATCGTCGTGGCTCTGGGGCCGATCACGTTTGGTTTCTCGGTAAGCTCGCTTTCCCTTCTTCGTGAATTTCTAATTTTGAGAAAGATATATCTAACTGTTCGTTGTTTGCTACTTTTTCCCTCTTTCCTTTTGTAGGTCGGCTATTCATCTCCCACGCAGCAAAAATTGACCGAGGATTTGGGGCTTAGTCTCTCCGAGGTACTGAGAGAACTGTGAAATCTTGTCTAGAAATTCTGCTAACTTGTTTTTGTAGTTCTCCATGTATGGTTCTCTGGTAAATGCCGGTGCCATGGCTGGAGCTATTCTCAGTGGCCGTATAGCTGATCGCTTTGGACGGAAAGGGGTAAGCAGGCCAAACGCGAAACAAAAAGTTCTCATTCTTTTGCTCTTTTTATCAGGCACTTGTAATTGCTTCGATTCCACACATTGCTGGATGGATCTTAAACGCCCTGGCCATGGTAAGTAGCTTCTCGCTGTCAATTCAGCATCACGAAGTTTCCTTTTTGTTCCAGAATGTCGCCAGCCTGTACATAGCAAGATTGCTCGTCGGGTTTGGAGTCGGTGTTATTTCTTTCACTGTAAGTGCGTCAATGTTCGATTTCTCTTATTTAATTTGGAAATTCAGGTACCAATGTACATTGCTGAGATTTCTCCCAAGAATTTGAGAGGAAGCCTGGGTGCTATAAATCAGGTGAGTCCTTCAAAGTATAACTCACCGTACTGATCTTGTATTTTTCGTTTTGTAGCTTTCGGTTACCACTGGAATCTTCTTGTCGTACTTAGGAGGTCTTGTTTTGCCCTGGAGAACTCTTGCTTTAGTTGGTATGCCACGCGCCGTGTTTGCTTTTGAGCACTCTCTAATGCCTGCCTTTTGTTGATCAGGGGTTGCTCCGTGTAGCGTTCTCCTCGTGGGCCTTTTCTTTATTCCAGAATCTCCTCGGTGGCTGGTCAGTCTCTCGCCAACCTTTTCTTTTTCCCTGGTTGACTTACTCGTTGGTTGCTTGTGAAGGCCAAAATGGGGATTGAAGACACTCTTATCACGTCACTGCAAGCATTGCGTGGAAAGGACTCCGATATTTCTTCAGAAGTATCGGAAATCAAGGTAATTCCTTTTGGTTTTTTGTTAGATTTCCACGCTGACACATTGCTTTTGCAAATAGGACGCCGTCGATATATCGTATAAGCAAGAGGCTAATGTAAGGATGTCTGACCTTTGCAAGAAGACGATTTTCCTTCCCCTTACTGTAAGTCAATGTAGTGTTTACGCTTGCATGTTCTATCTAACACGGCTCTGCTCTTGCATGACTGAAGATCACAATCGGGTTGCTATTGTTGCAACAAATTTCGGGCATCAATGCTATTTTGTTCTATTCTAGTGCCATATTCCACTCTGCGGGTATGATCGTATTGATGTGCTATGCTTATTTATTAAGCTCTTTCTTTTGTACAGGATTCAGCTCAAGCAATCTTGCGTCGCTCTCGTTGGCTCTCCTTCAGGTAAATATCCATATATCAAGCCATCACCATATCATAACACACTGTTCTTGCAGGTGGTAATGACCGGCGTGGCTGCTGTGCTCATGGACAGAGCCGGACGACGCCTCCTTCTCATGGTCTCGGGCGCTGGAATGGCAGTGAGCTGCTTTCTAGTCGGATTTGCATTCTATCTGCAACAGCATATGGACGCGACTTCTCACTTTGCACCCTTTGTCGGCAACCTCGCGTTGATCAGTCTATTGGTAAGTCTCTAAAAAAAAAACTAGTTTCTCCCGTGAACTAACATAGGCGTGCTCACAATCTAGGTGTACATAACCTCCTTCGCTCTTGGAATGGGGCCTATTCCCTGGATCATAATGTCCGAGGTTCTTCCCTCACACATCAAAGGCTTGGGTGGAAGCGTTGCGACGTTGGTGAACTGGACTTTCTCGTGGCTTGTGACTATGTCCTTTAATTTCTTACTCAACTGGAGCTCCACAGGTAAAACAAGCTTTCTCCAGAGATATGGAACTAATGCTCTCTTTTTCTCTCCAGGTTCTTTCGCTCTCTTCGCTGGAATGTGCGCGTTCACTGTCCTGTTCGTGGCTGTTCTAGTCCCTGAAACTCGGGGAAGAACACTGGAAGAGATCGAAGCTCTCTTCCAGGAGTAGCAAGGCTCTCGTTCGCGCTTTCATTTCCACCATTCCATACACCAGGGGGATTCGCTATATTCATTACCATAGAGGTGTTCGGCTCGATTTTTTTGTCCCCTCGCCAAAAAGCGTAAATGTTTGTAAAACTTGTGTAAAGAGAAAAAGGTTTGATCTCGAGCTTTCTAGCAAAAACGAATAAAATGCGATTTCCATGAAAAAGTATAAGTAGTGTGGGAACTGAAGAAAAAAAAATCCAAGCTTTCTCATGATCCGCTACGAATAAATGCGAGTTTCATGAAAAATTATAAGTAGTGAGCATTTGGAAGCTCCAAAGAATAGAAAAATCCACATGACTAGAACTTATCTTCCTTGAGGATTGACGAGCTGGGAGAAGACCGCGCTGGCGGAGGCGTCCTCCGAGTAGCCATCGTAGTAATCGTCAGTAACTTCGCTCGCGGTTCGCTGGCTCTCGTTAGAAGCTTGCCCAGGCGCTTGACGAGCGCTGATTGGAACACTAGAAGTAGCACCACCATTCTCCACCGCCCCAGCCGCCGGCGCCGCTACTCCACCGCCAGCATCGCCACCAGCACCACCATTCTCGCGTCCAAATCTCCTCTGCGCGGCCTCCTGGATGTGCAGCGCCGACTCGAGGTTCCACAGCACATCGCCCATGCTCGGCCTCTGGACGCCATTCTCTTGCAAGCACTTGTCCGCGGTCTCGCCAACTTTCCTCACCGACGCCATGTCCGCGTCCTCGTCGCTCCCGGGCCTCCGCAGCGTCGGGTCCAGTATCTCCTCCAGCCTCCCGCTGCGCTGCGCGCTCATCGCCCACTCGGCGATGTTAACTTGCTCTCTCGGCAGCGCCGGATCGATGGCGGGACGCGCGCACATCACCTCCACCATCACCACTCCAAAGCTGTACACGTCCGACTTGTCCGTGAGCTGCTGCCGCCGGAAGTACTCCGGATCCAGGTACCCGAAGCTCCCCTTCACGGCCGTGGAGACGTGCGTTTGATCCAGCATCGGCCCCGTCTTGGACAGCCCAAAGTCGGACACTTTCGCCACCAGCTGCTCGTCTAGAAGGATGTTGGTGGTCTTCACGTCCCGGTGGATGATCGCGGCTCCGGTGTGGAGGTAGTGCAATCCCCGCGCCGCCCCGACCAGGATCTCCAGCCGGTGCCGCCAGGAAAGCGGCTGGAGATCCTCCGTGCCGTAGAGATGGCCGCGGAGAGGCCCCCGGGCCATGTACTCGTAGACCAGGATCATCTCCGACTGCTCGTCGCAGTAGCCGATGAGAGAGACAAGGTGGCGGTGGCGGAGCTTGGACAGGAGCCCGATCTCCGCCTGGAACTCGGCTATGCCTTGCTCCGACCTCGGGTTGCCGCGCTTCACCGCCACCTCCAGCGTGCCATTGTCGATCTCGCCCTTGTAGACGCGACCGAATCCTCCCACGCCGAGGAGCCTTGCCTCGTCGAAGCTGTTCGTGGCCTCGGCGATCTCCTGGAGCGTGAAGTAGCGGCCGTGGCCTCCGGCGCTGGCAGCCGAGCCGGCATTGTAGTAACTCCCGGCGGCACTCCTGGGCGAGCCGGCTCCCATCGTGGAGCCGAGCGTGGTGAGTGAGAAAGCATGGTGGTGGTGGTGGGGGTGGCCGTTTCCCAGAGCTTGCCAGGACGAAGCGCTCGGCTTCTTCCCGCCACCTTTGCAGCAGCGGAAGAAGAAACCAATCGCGAGCGCGATCGCCACCAGCGCGAACACCCCGCCAGCGACGCAGCCGATTATCACACCGAGGTGGTGGCCGCCGTTACCGCCACTGTCCGAGCTCCGCGGCACCACAGCCAGCCCATCCACGCTCCCGGACGAGTCGTTGAGCCGGAAGATCTCCACGCCGTTTAGAATCGCGTCCTGGACCTGGCTGTTCGATCCGGTGAGAGGCCCAACTTGGAGCCGGAGGTTGGCGAGCCCGTCCACTGGAAGAACCAGGAAATCTCGGTAGTAGGGAGTGTTGGCGGCGCCGGTTTGCTGGATCAAATCTAGAGCTCGGATGGCTGTCCGGTTGTTGATGTAAACGCTGAAGATCCTTTGCATTGGAGAGCTGTAGACGAGCTCCGCGAAGTGGAGGCGGACGTAGTGGGCATAGCCGGGCGCGACCGAGAACGCCCACGAGATGTTAAACGCGTTTGTGACGGTGTTGGAGCCGCCCAGGGACCGCGCGGTACCGTAGACGCCGCGCGGCGCAATGTACTCGGGCACCGTGGCCGGGTAGACGATGTCCGGTACCGCCGGCGGCACGGGCACCCCTCGCGCGACTCCTTGGAGGAAGGGCTCGTCCGGCAGCCACGTCCGGGCCTGGGAGGAGGAATCGTTGCCCGGGGCGATGAGGTCCCCGCCCACATTGAGGCGGTAGAGCGTGCGCGCCAGGATCCCGGCGATCTCCACTTGCCGGCTCTCGCTGGCCTCGGGCGAGATCTCCACGACGCTGGGCGACAGCGCGTCGCGCGCCATGGAGATGAGCTCGATGCCGCTGACGAAGGCGATGAAGGAGGCGCTGGGGGTGAGCGTGACGGCGACGGCGGTGCCGCTGGTGTGGATCGTGAACTCCCTCACCACCGGGCTCGATCCATTGCCGGCGGCAATGTCTTCCGCGATGCTGGAGTTCGCGATGAGCAGCCGCGATCCAATCGCGACCGAGAAGCGCGCGCGCGAGGAGGCGTCCGCGAGAGGGGCGAAGTGGAGGCGGACCCAATGCCGTCCCGGGCTGATGGAGAAGCTATAGCTTGCCGGGCTGGTGAATACCCGTGCCGCGCGGTATGGGACGGAGGTACCGCTCGTACCGCGCGTACTGTTGGTCGGCGTGCCGCCGGCAACAAGCCTGGGATTCTCGGCATCGGGCGTCCATTCCAGGCCATTGCCATCGATGGCGCTGCGCGATTCCCCACAGCTGATCCTAAACACATCCTGTGGCTTCCACTGCGCGCTGGATCGGCCCAAGAGCGCGAGGAAGGAGGCGAGAACGATGAAGAAGAAGAGGGGATGATCTGGGCGAGAAATTGGGCGATTCCCTCGATCAATTCTCATCTGGGCGGCTAGAATTCGCATACCTGTGACCCGCATTGCCGCGACTTGGAGCTCAGATCATGGGAGGAGCCGCGCTCGATCTGATCGAAGTGGAACCCTATAGTGTTTGTTTTTCTTTTCCTCTCTTCTTTCCGAATCGTGCGAGAAGGGCTCGCCGCATTGGGCGGTGGTTTTGGCTGGATCCAGTTCACTCCACTGGCAGTACCAAGCGCGTCCCCATTAGATCTAAGCAAAACAGAGACAAATTAAAGGTTCTTTTTCTTTTAGGGTTCTTCGCGAATTTAGGGTTCCTCCCTCTGTTTCTAGGGTTTGTGGATCTTCTCACTTGCTGGTGACCGCGGCGCCATCGCTCAGGGACAAATGTGGCTGCTGCTGCTTGCCCAGGTGCTGTTGCTGATCGATCAGGGCCGGGAATGGCGCGGCCAGGAATTGAAAGGAATCGAGGCCCGGGGGTGGATGGTGCCATTGCGGAAGAGGCCCCGCCAGGAGGAGCGTGTGGAGCAGTGGGCCGGCGTTCATCACCGCCTGGAGCAGCTTGCCGCGCTCGGGGAGATTTCGCAGCATTAGGTTGAGATTCATCTCGGTGGTCGCGTGATCTTCCACGGCGGCGGCGGTGGGATCCTCGAATTTCCTGGCCGAGGGATCGAAGTCTCTCACTGCCCTGGCGTAGTCGCTGTGCTGCTGGAGGGGCGTGAGGATGGAAGCGAGCGCCGAGCCATTGTTTTGGAGCGAGGAGCTTAGAATGGTGGTGGTGGCCGGGGAGAAGAGACTTGGAGGGAGATGGGGTGGAGGAGGATCGAATGGGCTTTGTTGCTGGAAGTGGTGGTGATTCTCGGCATTGGAGTCCACCATCGCGGCAGACGCTGCCACCAAGGGCTCCACGCTATACAGCGAGAATCCACCATCGCCACCACGATCATCGTCCACTTGCGCAGCTCCTCCTCCTCCAAGCAAAGTGGCTTGATCCTCGCGGCTGTTCTCGAAGCTAGGGAAATCAAACCACTCGGCGGACTGATCGTGGTGATCGTTGAAGCTGCTGTGGTGATCCAGGGGGCTGTCAGCGATGAAGGAAGCGGCGGCGGCGAGGCTGCAGCTCGAGATGCTGGAGCTACACACCACCACATTGCTTTGGAGCTCCATGAATCTCTGGATGGCTTCGTCGCGCTCCCGGCGCGCGATCACCAAGAGCTCCTCCAGCTGCGCCACCTTAGCTTTGTGGACCGCCGCCTGGGCCTTGGCCGCTGACCGCGTCGACTCCAGCTCCAGCTTCGCCGCCATGATCATGCTCCTCAGCTCCTCGACGCTCTGGATGGGTTTTGCGATTCGTTCCATCGCCAAAGAAGGATCACGATCACGTAAGAACACACTCGAGCAGCGATCGATCGACCAACCTGGTTGGAGCGGCCGTTTGGCGAAGAGCTCCCAATGCTTCCATCCATGGATGAAACGCTAGCTTCCATCTCTCATCGCTCCTCCCTCATGCTTGAAAGGAAGATGGGTTTCCAATTGTGGAAGACCAACGGCTTTAAAAGCGAAGACCGCATTTAAATCGCTACTCCTACTATTTGGTAAGCAAATTAAAGCCAGTTTACCACTAATTCACGCACCAACCGTCCGGGTCAACTCTAAAGTCAACAATTTTGACTTTTAAACATTGTCTGTTGATGCGTAGAATATTCTTATATTATATTGTTGGTCAAATAACGCTTAGACAACGAGGTACTTCTTTTGAGTTCTATTGGATGGTATATCGTAGCAAAGCAAAGGAAGAAATAAAACCTTGGGCAGTCTTTCGTTCCCTAAGATTCCTGGTGAGTTTCATAGGGCCGTGCGATCTCAGTCACGAAGTTCCAGTATTGGATATATCCATCTTGGAGACCATCGATTCAAGAAAGAGCTTTCCAAGCCCTCGGGGAAAGCTGGGGATTCTTCCTGTTGCTAGGACATGGAATTCGGATGAGGTCGGTTTTGCGACCAGCTTCGAGGCGTCCAAGAGGCAGCCAGGGGCAGCCTCGCAGGTCCACACCTCACCTTGCGATCCAAGCAAGCTTCCGGCAAATCTGGCGCGCGACAGAGACGTCTCCACGAGTTATGGAGCGGAGGTCACCGCTCTGTCCAGGCGGCTGCTGGAGCTCTTCTCGGAATCGCTGGGACTTGGAGCGAGTGAGCTAGTTCACATGAGGCTGAATCACTGTCCTCCCTGCCCGGAACCATAGGAATGAAGCCTCACTCGGACATAAACGCCTTCGCGATCTTGGGAGGGCCTCCAATTTCTCTCTTTTGTTTGGATTCTATTGATTGAGTTTTCTTCTCGATCGATCACGCGTTAGATCTCTCCAATGGCGAGGAGTGGTCAATCCCGAAAGAGATCGAGTTTCCATCGTTTGCTTCTATAGTCCCGGTCTGGGTGCTCGCATTGGGCCCGTAGCTTGATGCCCTTTGTACGGAGAACATACCAAAAGCCTTCAAGCGGGAATTTGGTTTAATAAAGAAGAAATGATAATATTTTTGTTTGCTTGTTTATTATTTGAATAGATAAAGAAGCTGATGGCAAGCTTTTCAACTCTAAAGTCAACAAATCTGTCTTTCTAGCGCATTTATCTGTTTGCGCATAGGATTTTTGGAAATTAAAACATTGCCTACTATTAGATGCGTGTCAAATCTAAGGAGTGACCAATACATGTCTTGGTCATTTGATCGCGAGGCATTCTCCTTAAGTTCGCGTTCTTTTAGATCGTAGCAAAGGGGAAAAAAGAATCATGGGCAGTCTTTCGTTCTTCAAGATTCCTGGTGAGTTTCACAGGGCTCCGGATCCACACCCATGGAAAGATCTCGATCACGAAGTTCCAGTGGTGGACATATCCAGCTTGGAGGATACCGACTCAAGGGAGGGAGCACTCCAAGCTCTCCGGGACGCCTGTGAGAGCTGGGGATTCTTCCAGTTGCTAGGACATGGAATTCCCCGCGAGCTCAGCGACAAGATGATGGAGGTGGCCTACAAGTTCTTCGATCTTCCCGCCCAAGACAAGCTCGTCTACTGCTCGGACAATGTCTTGGACGATGTCGGTTTTGCGACCAACTTCGAGGTGTCCAAGAGTCGGCGGCCAAGCGCAACCTGGCAGGAGTTTTTCTTCCAGATGTGCTCCCCACCTTGCGATCCAAGCAAGCTTCCAGAAAATCCCGCGCGCTACCTAAACGTCTCCACGAGTTATGGAGCGGAGGTCACCGCTCTGGCCAGGCGGCTGCTGGAGCTCTTCTCGGAATCTCTGGGGCTTGAAGCGAGCGAGCTCGCCGGGAGATTCGAAGGCGAGCTCATGTCCATGAGGCTGAATCACTATCCTCCCTGCCCGGAGCCACAGCTCACCATTGGAATCCAGCCTCACTCGGACATAAACGCCTTCACGATCTTGCAGCAGGACGTAGAGGGCCTTCAAGTCCTTCACGATGGAGCGTGGGTGACTCTCAAGCCTTTGCCCGGAGCTCTCGTGGTCAACGTTGGAGACCAGCTCCAGGTATGCTCTTTCTTTCTTAGATTCTCTACATTGAGTGAGTTTCTTCTCGATTGATCGCATGCTAGATTCTCTCCAACGATAAGTTCAAGAGCGTGGAGCATCGAGGAGTGGTCAATGGCGAAAGAGCTCGAGTCTCCATCGCCTGCTTCTATAGCCCCGGTCTGGGTGCTCGCATTGGGCCCATCCCGGGGCTTGTCAACGAGGAATGCCCCGCGAAATACAAAGAAAGTTTGTATGGAGAATATGCCAAAGCCTCTCTTAGCATGGAGCTCAATAGGAAGAGCGCTCTGTCCACTCTCAAAGTTGACGTATGAAAAGGTAATTTTGTTTTCGAACAAAAAGAGAATCTTAAGCTTTAGAAAAAGCAAATCCAAAGGTTTAATAAGACCATCATTCTCAATACATAACACTTCTGTAATGTTTGAGATAAATGGTGCCTCAGGGGAGATCATAGTAGTCGCCTGTACCACACAAGCACCAGCTTGCAAGAACTTTCATCATGTTTTGTCACAAAAAGAGATTATTTTGAGAGGTTTACTCCATGCTTGTTCTTGCCTCTGTGGTGCTTGCTATGATCCAATGCCAGGCCGCCGCACCACAACGCAACCATGTAACGCTCAACACCACTCCGTTTCTTGGCACTGCCTCCACGTTCTTCTGCCCGTGCCACCGCTTCTACTGTTACAGCTCTTCGTTATTTCATCTCCCTGGAACAATGCCGCTTGCTCTTGCCACACTTCACTGGGATTGCAGGACCAAAAGCCCGAGCTGCCAAGCACTCTTTTCAACCTCTGGAATAAACACTGGTGATCAGTAGTAGCAAGGTGCCTTGTTTCAGAGCGCAGAGATCTGGAAACGTAGTACTTTCCATTAGTTTGAGCATGCGGGAGTTCTCTAACCAAGAAACGTGTTTATGCTTACTTGCGAAGGCACAGAGGAGCACAGACTACGAGCCTCTTCTGGGGCAGCGATAGCACTTTGCGAACAGTCCAAACTCGTGAGCTTGGTTCCTTAGCACGCTGATGCTCGCCCACGTTGCAAAGCCACCGGCCATGATTGCCATCCAAAGGATGGCTCCCAAGTTCATGCAGTGGAGGCTTAACCAGCTCATGCCAAACGGAGGCTGCTCGATTGCATTCTAAACAGCAGTGAGGTTAGATTAGTCTTGAGAACCGTGGCAGAGGTTTCATGCAGTACCTTTTGAGATTTGGAAGTCCAATAGACGAGCACGGACGCAGCACAGGGAATGACGTATAGCCAGGTCATAAAAATGGACCCAGCCGCCGAGCTCAAAGTTCCATAAAACGGGAACATAATAGCCACCAACAAGGATGCCATAAAGACTGGAGTTCTGACCAACGTTTTCTTCCAGTAGCTTGGAGACTGATGAACTTTAAACCACTTCTCTACAATAATATATAGAGGCTGTGACAAAATCCCATACTGGATGAGCTGCTCAGCACGGCCGTCAATAGTATAGATAGAGAACCGCGTGTTTTGGGTTGAATACCTGGTGTAGGAGCATAAGAACCACTGCCGCATCACGAAATTTTGTGCGTGGGAGCATAGAGAAGACATTGTACTGCACGTTGTCTCCGAAAGCCCAGTAGACGCTTATAATCGAAAACAGCACCACAGGTGTCATGAACAAGTCCGAATAGAGAGAAGTCAGCTTATATTTTGAAGGTTGCCACATCGCATCCATTAGCTCCCTGCAAAGTAAAGATTCAAAGTCGAGTCTAGAACTTGAGTAAAAGCTTACACTGGGATCGCATGAGCTCCAAATATGATAGTGCTAGCAAACCCGTTAAAGTAGCTCCTGATGCTGTGAGGTGCTGTGTGCCTCAGGTCGTCATCCTGCACGAAGCTTGGCTCAGAACCGCTCGAAACACACAATATATACCTGGTGAATTGCCAAAGAAGCAAATGCCATATACAAAGCAGTGTAAACGATCATCACAAGACCGGCGAAAGACCACATTCTATAGTTCCGAAGGGAGGGAATGAAGACAGTGGTTGCAAAGCATGAACCGAGGACTAAAGTCCAAGTTCTTCGTTCTAACTTGTCATTGATGTAGTATACGATGCTGCAAACATTCGAATTTGAATGATTTGGAACACCGAATTCATCACTTACTTTCCAACAGCAACCATTTGAATAGCTGCAAAGCTGAACATGATTCCAAAGTTAAATATCAGTGTGATTGTTTCCCAGCGGCGTCCTAAAAGACCGCCAAGAACCTCGTGCATCTGCTAGACGTAAAGACGTAAAAAACACCAGTTTCTTCGTGAAAAGCCACTCACTCCACCTGTATAGTGTGGCGCTTGAAAGAGTGGGGGTCGTCTTTCAGCCTATTATGACGATACTGCAGGTACAAGGTGTTCATCATCCAAGCGCTCCAGCAGCCTACAGTAGACTGAATCAAGATAGCAAGTATGCCAGAAACAAATCCCATTTGCGACATTGCAAAAGGTAGCGATACTAGCAGTTGCGATATCTGTTAACAGATACCAGAAATTCCAGTGGAAGTAAGAAAAACAAAACCATACCTTGGTTGTCGACATGTTCAGCCAGGCATCAAAGGTAGAACCCCCATCGCAAAAGACCGTCGAAAAGAAACGCGAAATCGTGGGAGTAGAACCGAAGGAGATGTAAATGCCAGACGCACTAGCGTCAGACGAAACATGAAGATGATTTGCTTCTCCAGTCTCTGCATCGGCATCATCGTAGGAGGACATCCTTAGATCTTGCGGCAGGGAAATCTAAAGTTTTTGTGCATACCATATTCTAAAGTCAAAAATTGTTGTCAATGTTTGATGGCGTCTGACGTTATAAGTATGTTCTAGCGATGATTTCTTCCGCCATCCAAGCAGCTTCTCATAAAGCTGCGCCACTAAGGTATGACGGAATGAGATCATCAGCACCTGGGCGTTATTTACAAAACATATTAAAACAATTACGTCGTACTACGTATTTACGTCCGGTCAAGCTGCTTCCAGAACACGTAACGTTCAAGTCGGTCAAGTCGAGGAACTTTACCAATTGAATCTGTGCCAAGGTCCTACAGTGAAAGCAATATCAGTCAATCTCCTCAATCGTCACTCCGGCACTCACCTAAAGAAGCCGAGGAGCCCTGAGCGCACCGAGCAGCATGGAAGACGAAAGTTGGATGAAGCTCATATTGATCAACCAGGGACACTTCATCTCCTCGTCCCTCAAGGCCTTGGTGAAGCTCAAGGTACCTGACATCCTCAACAAAGCCGCACCCTCCTTGCTCTCCCCAGTAGAGATCTGCGACCAGCTGCCGCTGCGCAGCAAAGCCACTCTAGATTCTTCCGCATCTCAGCTGGGTCGACTTATGCGTGCTCTGGCCATGTTTGGTGTCTTCCAAGAGTGCCCCTCGTCAGAGGGAGAACAGAGGTATGGCCTCAACGCCGTCTCCAAGCACCTAGTCACAGAAGGCAATAGCGAGTCAATGGTACCATCGATGATGTTTTTCCCGAAGCAGTATAATGTATGGGACTTGTTACCTGACGCTATACTCGAAGGTGTACAGCCAGGCTCCAAAGCTCATGGTGGAAAGTCGGTGTTCGAGCTGGACCCAGCCATCGTCAAGGTGTTCAACACCGTCATGTCAGCTTACACGAGACGTACCATGCGGCTCGCTCTGCAAGTTTACGACGGCTTCCAGCATGCGGAGGTGATTGTGGATGTCGGTGGCAGCTTGGGAGCGTCTCTAGAAATCATCCTTGCCAAGTACCCGAACGTCAAAGGGATTAACTTCGATCTCCCAGCGGTCGTGGAACACGCTGCAAAAGTACAAGGTTCGTCACAAATTTGTATGTGTCTTGGAATGCACTTACTATCTAATCTTCAGGTATGGAAAACGTCGGAGGAGACATGTTCGTCTCCGTTCCTCAAGGAGACCTCATGTTGCTGAAGGTAAAAAGATGTCTACGGCCAAGATGGAAAATCTAAGAGCTAGACTTTGGCATTTACTTTTGCAGTGGGTTCTACACGACTGGAATGACGAAAAAGCTATCAAGATCCTTGAAAACTGCCGCCAATCACTTGCAGAGGGGGGCAAGGTGGTGGTAATTGATGCACTTCTGCCGGAGGTGGCTGAAAAAAGCGAGGAATACAGCCTGGCTGACAAGAATGCAGTTTTGTATGATCTAGCTATGCTAACAACAGGAGAAGCAGCAAAGGAGAGAACTTACAAGGAGTTGGAGCAAGTTGCGATGGCTGCCGGCTTCTCCAGCTTATCAGTCAGAGCTAGAGTCGACTCTGCCTCCATTATCGAGATCTATCCTTAAAAATTCCAGACAATCAGTGCAATCGAGATATTTGTGAAACGCATTACCTGCTTGATGCTGTTGCTGGTTGCTGTTCGCGAGAAATCACGTCGTCCTCTGTATCGTCACTGGTTCCATCACTAAAGTCGTTACTGTCGCTCACTTCTGCCGGATGATCACTTTCATAAGTTGTGTCCTCCAGTTCTTCATCGTTAACGGCCTTGGAAAGATCCGGCTCAGCCTCAGGCGAGGAATCTGGAGTACAAAGACTGCTCCGGCTTCTTCTTCGCGGATCTGTTAGAGGTAGCAAGCTCCGCTTAAGTGGTCTCTTCTTCCTCGAAACAAGCGCCAGTTCCACGTACTTCCGACGCAAATCAATGTACGGGGACATCTCAATCTTGTAGTCCCAGTGGTAAGCTTCCCTCAAGAACACGAAGTAATAGTTGTTGAGCCGTTCCATGGCGAAGAACAGCGACTCCCTCCGTAAAAACTTGGCCAAGTCCTCTGGAAGCTGGAGCTCGTCTTTGAGAATCGCTAGATCTCTCACATTCGCTCGCTTCAGCAACGTCAAGCTTAGAAACTCGTGACAAACCGCGAGAGACCGCTTCCGCGCCTCTGGCGAGCCATCAGGATCGTCAACTTTACCACCACGCTCGTATGGAGAATCAAACCGGCGCTTCTGGAAGGACAAGAGCTTCAGGTATCTGTCCCTTTCCATCTCGCAGTTGTTCTCGAAAGCTACTCGAAAGCTGTGAACATTTCCCTCGCAAAACTTGTCCTTGCGGCTCGGGTCTATATGTTTTACCCCCCGGAGCTCTCGAGCCGTGACCGCTAGCGCTGGATCCCAAGCCCCCAGCTCCAGCATCGCGTCGTCCTTTTGGTTCCTGGTGATCGTGAAAAAATCCGGGAACCTGACCAGGGTGGTGGTCTCGAAATCCTCGGAGAAGCCAAAGCACGGCTTGAGAATGCTAAGCTTCTTCACTGGAATCCTCCCTTCCTTGGCCATCATCAAGAGCTTCCTCAAGACCTGGACAGCATACGGCTCGTGCTGCTTTAGAACTTCCTCCTCCCTCTTCATGAGGTGCTTCATCGTCTCGGTCAGCTCCACAATCTTACGGGACTCCTTGTCACACATCTCAAACATGAGCCGGAATTTCCTCAGAAAGAAGTCGGAGTCCCTGTTGCGAAATCCCAGCTTCTTGGCGATCTTTTGAAACCGCGCCTTTGAGACGAGCTCCTTGGCAGCCACGGCCCCGGCCACACGATGGATGAGCCGCATTTCCTTCTCGCGCACGGCGAGCTTGGCGTAGGTCATCGCGTCCTGGCCGCCGCTGAATCCGCCCATAGATCGCTTGCTCGAGACCATACATCCTGTAAGAATGCGAATCCCTGTGGCGGATCCCAGTACCTGGCGTTGCCGCATCGCGCTTGTAAAGCCCTAAACCTTTCTTCCCGGAAGAACCCTAAAAAGAATAGCTTTTTAACAGTGAATCATCTAATCTAACATAGATAAGACAATATTATTGTCCTCGTATATCTAAGGTGGTCCTCGAGCAATTTGCACACTGCTTGCAGAGGTCGCACTTATCCTTGCCCAGGTCCTCTCGCAAACTGCGCATGTCCTCACCCAGTTCCTGGTGCAGTTTGTGCAGCTCCTCACTCAGTTTTTTGTGCAGGTCCTCGAGCAAATCCTCGCCCAATTTGCGCAGGGCCTCCAGCAACATCTCGCCCAAGTCCACAGTCTCGCTACAAATCAAAAGTCAACCAAAGATGAGGAACAAACAAACTTACGTGATGGGTGGATTTCATTCACACCCTTTAACTTGCAGCCGTCTTCGAACACTCTGCAGTGCTGTGTCATGGGACACCAAGATGTTAACAGTAGTAGTGCTATCATTAAAAGTATTTGATTCATGTTAGTCGAACAGCCATGAGCTCCTGCTGGGCAAAAGCCTGGAGGATCGAATTCCACGAGAAAATGTCCCTGTGTGGCATCCCGGGGAAGAAGAAGGCCGCGTAGGCCTCGAATTGCGTTGCCTCGGAGAATGCCTGTAAAAGGTCTGGATTCGCGGTGTAGACGGCCTCCGCATCCCTCCATTTGCCATACATGTAACGATCATGTTGGAGAGGTGTCGATTCGGCCAGTAGCTGGTCTCCAGGATCCGCGCGTGGATCCTCCTGGCGTGAGCCAAATCCCTGGCAGACCCTGTTCATACAGGGCCGCGGGATGTCGTCCACGTGAACAGTCAGATGGATTCCAAAGATTCGCATCTTTCTTTGCATTGCAAATCTAATGAGACGGGAACTCCTTCACTGTCTTGGTGTTGAGCACTGCAATCCGATAAATCCCTGTCTCAGGATCTACATTCATCGTCTCAATGCTAGAGCATCTTCCAAACTGTTTGTGAGCAGATTGGCCACAGTGAGCGAGAGGCAGAGAAGTGGGCTCGAACGGGCGGCCGGAGAAAGGATGCACTACTTCCTGAGGCAATCTAGAAACGAGCGAAAGAAATGCAGTACCAGGAGCGGCACCACCACGCGCATCCACATAGGCTGTGGACATCGAGTCGCAGGAATATGCCCATGAACAATTCTTCCTCATCGACCCGATCGAAGGCCCATCGCCATACTACCTCGCGATAGGGAGAAAGAGAAAATATGTGGAAACTTTTGGGGGACAAATCCCAGAGCGCCTACGAAGGAGTGTGTCTGTGTGGATGTTTGTGAGTTGGGCCCGTTTCCGCACTATTCTACGTTGACGCTGCCGACAGGTGACACATGTAACTTCATGAACACCTGGGAAACTAGCGAAAACATCTGTGTGTTTATACATGCGCTGATGGCAGCGCTCATCATTCTAAGTTTTGATTTGATCATAGAATGTTATTTGTTGTGATATTTAGCTGTCCAGAATCAGACCTGCGAGCTTGCGGCTCCTATATGGAGCTGCATCCCTCTTTTGTTCATCTTAAGTTACTAAGTTTGTAGGCTCGACCTGGTTGGGAGTCTCACTTACTGAGAAAAGAAACTGTAAACTAAGAGTGCAAGATTTCCCAGCGCTTACTTGATTGCTCATCTTTCCACTTTGGTTTGCAACAAATTGTTGCTGTTTATTTTTTCCACTTTTCTTGCCTGATTTCTAGAACTTCGGATAGCAAAGAAATGACCGAAGAATCATTTGCTTCCAATCTCAGACATACCGTCGTATATATATCTTTCTAGTTGTTTTGAGAAGATTAAAAGTGCGCTTAGCAACCAGTGACATAATCCGCCTTGAACTGGCAGCCGTCATTGTAAGTCTTGATACCACACTTGCCGCAGTTACGAGCACGGAGTTCGTCAAAGGCAGTGATCATCTCAGAGCCATTGAGGTCGCAGTTGGAGCCAGAGACAAAGAGGCCACAGTGGCCAGAGCAGACGCCGCTGGAGCCTTTGTTGCCGCCGGTGAAGTAGCGGTTGCTAGGCTGAATCTGGCGGCGAGCAGCATCACAGTCGCTCTGTGCGAGATCCTTGCACAGTGTAGAGCCAGCGCACGAGAAGGAGTCCTGAGCATGAGAGCCTTGCAACAACATGATGATCATGAGATTCACAACAAGTAAGACATTGAGAGCTAGCGCCATGCTCGTCGACTTCATGGTTACTAAGTTACTGATAGATCTCGAGCCCATTATTTGTATGGTGTGGGCTGGCATAGAAGCGGGTCTAGCTTTGCTTCCAGCAAGACTTCCAAAACTTAGGCGGTCAAGGAGGAACCCATTTATTAATGCATACAGGTCACAACTTGACGACTTTCACATAGATGGACACGTAGAAGAAAGTTCTATAGAAAGCTTCAGTTGTATTTTATTAAAATCTCATTTGTCTTGTTAAAAATTTGCTCTTCTGTCACCGGCAATAGTGTTTATACATATCAGCTCGATCTACATTGCCGAGCCACCGAGTCCATTGGCAGGCTAATGGCCTCATTTTGATCATAATATCCAGTGGCATTTTCGAATTGTCCTTAGGAATAGTATTAGTCAAGATCTAAATAGGTAATACATATATATATACATACATATATATGTTATAATTATATATACACTTAACTAAATAATATTAAGAGGAGAAGCTTGTAATATCAGCTTTCATACATAGTTACAGGAGTCATTGTAAAAAGAACATTAATCACTGTTTGGTGTTGGGTGTGAGGAGTATATGTACACAGGACTGGGGGGTCAATTTTCTGGGCTCCAGAGGATCTGCCAAAGCTTTTGCTACCAGGAATTGAACTTGGGTCTCTTGGGTGAGCGTTGAGTATCATGAAGATTATCTTAACTGAATAAAACAATTCCATCATTGCCGCAGTTGAATCCTGAATGCCCCTCAGATCCAATGCACATTCCAAAGAGAGAGCTTTGCTTGCCCTTGCCTTGGGAGCGGCCTTAATGGGCTGTGGCAACAGACACATGGAATAACATTATTCAAGGATGAGAGGGTTTTCTAGAACCTGGCAGTTGTCAGCCATGTTCTCATAGAGAACCTGACTTGATCTGATGGCTGCCAATTGCTAAATCTAGTTAACAGGCGAGCCACAGCCTGTTAATGTAGGAGAGTGTATCGGGAGTCAATTGTCTACATTCTCCAGTACAATTCAGGGAAGTGGGTCATTGAATCCATGACTTTTAGCTATGTCCAATCTTGGCTACAACCAGAGCTTTAAGGGAGAGGATCACTTCTATAACCTAGACACCATGCGTTGGAGTCGGCAAGCAGTGAGCCAGGATCCATTCGGCTACTAGGACTGCAACAAGTATCCAATATGGTATGGAGGCCAGAGGATTTCATTGGTATACAGGGAAGCTAGAGAAGGATGAGGAGCTTGGTAAATGGGTCACCCTCAGCCATGGTCACATCTGGGAAATACTAGTGGCCACTTTGTGACATCAACATGGAAAGTGAAGAATGGATGGCTTATTTTGTGATGGTAATTTTTTGTGTCTTAGTTTATATTATGGTGTACACCATAAAAATGCAGCTGTCATTTATACTATTACCATCTCATCTGGTTGCCGAAGAAACCCTACTTCGCTTTTATACATTAGATCCAAATGCCTTTAATCTTAGCCTTCTTGACGTTCAATCTAACAACCCTAAACCTTCGTCTTTCGCTAAGCTGTTCAAACGAACATGTGGAACCGAGGGAAAGCCCGGAAGTTTAGCTATTGCGCTAAGATCACCCTGATGTCAAGAATATGGTCAGCGTATGGAGGATTTTCTTGCTCTCCTCTCCGTCAACATTTCATTGGTATGTGGAGTCTCTCTATTAAGCACACCACACGATCGCGATCATTTTACTTGTCTCCGCCACCAGAAAAAGCCATGGACATTGAAAGGTAGCACGAACGGATACCCGCGTCTATTCCATCAGGTGAAACCAGCATGGATCACCGAGTCTTTCCTCGCTCTAGCATCTCACGTGATCTGGCACTGTTTTGCGCAGTTCTACTGCTGCCATGGACTGCTGCATCCATCGGGACGATGAACACTCTGAGACCGATGTGGAGCAAGTCGGACAATCCGAACTGGGACGGCCGGGCTCCATACAGGAATTCCTTCGCGCTGTGATTGCTCGAGGCGGGAACACTCATGCCATCGTGCTCAGGTACTTATCCAACGCAAAAAAACACAGATGCTCCAAGCACTCCCGAGCTCCGGTGGCTACTTCACTTGCGGACTTAGCTACGAGAGCAAAAACCCATTTTGCTGGGGGAATTCCACGATGGCCGTTCCATCGGTTTACAGGAATGTCAGCCATAGCAGCTTGAGTGCCGGACAGGATCACGTCTGTGCGCTGAGAAGCAGTGGAAAGATAGACTGCTGGGGATCAAACGTGGACGGGGAGCTAGACGTACCGAAAATCGCAGCTTTGTCATGGTCTATGGCTACACTTGCGGGCTCATCAAGACTGATGAAGCGTTTTGCTGGGGATGGGACGCTCCATCCCGTTCACTGCCCAGTGGTACCACCATTGGTGCTTTGTTCTCCGGAGGAACACACGACTGGTAAAGAACAGTAGCGCTCCGGTTTGTTGGGGATATAACGACCACGGACAGGTCCAGGGCCGGTTGACGACCCAAGCATTTTCTTCGCTAGCTTTGGGACTGTTCCACACTCGTGCGGGATAGTGACGGACACAGGGAACGTAGTCTGCTGGGGTGACAATGCTTTCAACCAGACGAATGCCCTGAAAGGCGAGGCCTTTTCAGTCATTTCAGCTGGAGACTACTACACTTGGAGCTTGACAGATCAGAGAGGCTCAAGTGCTGGGGAAACTCGGTTGAGTTCGCAGGAGCAAGTATCAAAGTGACCCAAGGATTGTGTACAAGTGACGCATGTAGCAAGCAGCAGTACCAGCTTTTGCAAGCTGGCTCGAAGAGGTGTCCGGTTGCTGGCGATGGAGTGTGTCTCGAGTGTTTACGAGGTAACAAGCAGTGCACGAGAACCGAGCCAACGAAATCGCATGACTCAAGGAACTTAGCAGTGGGATTTTCCATGGGAGGAATCTTCATCCTTGGTGCTGCTGCTTTTACATCGGCGTATTTTCTTCGGCGACGACCCCAGCGTCCATTTCAATGTGGCTGTTTACCTTGGCGAAGGAAACCATCCACATCGGAGGAATGGGAGGTTCTAGCAAACAGGCTGGTGACTTTCAGAAGCTCGGAGATCATCCACGCTACACAAGGCTACCACTCAGACATGATCGTCGGGAAAGGTGCCAGCGGAGTGGTGTACAAGGCTGTTCTTCCGGATGGACGAGCGCTGGCTTTGAAGAAATCCCGTGCCGGTGACAAGTCTTTGATGAAGGAGCTGTCCCTGCTAGCCAGATCACCACACTTATCTCGTGAACTTGGTGGGATACTGCGCTCAAGAGCAGCTCCTGGCTTTCGAGTTCATGGAAAACGGCTCGCTCTTCGACTGCCTTTTCAAGAAGCCAGAGATCAGGCTGGAAAGTTCAATTGTAAGACCATAGCTTGTGCAAGAGAACACCACAAGGTTGGAATCAATGGTGAGATCTTGTGAAGCTCTAGGAAGAAAGTATGCGTCTCCAGAAATACTCCATCGAGATGTGAAGCAGCAAACATACTCTTGGAGGGGGACTGGAACACACACTTGTCCGACTTTGGCTTCTCCCTCTCGACGTCGGGGAGTAGCACCCGGTTCATGACAGGTGGGAACACCAGGCTACATGGACCCGGAGTGCAAACCATCAAGTTCACCACCAGAAGCGACGTCTACAGCTTTGGAGTGGTGCTGCTGGAGCTCCTCACAGGTCGACAAGCGATTCAAAGCTCGGAGAAGAGCGTGGTCTTCTCGAGCACGGTAAGAGCAGCTCTTTCTCGCTGCTTGATCCGAGGATTTACGTTCCAGAGAACTCCGCAGCGCTGGAAGAGGTGCTCGAGCTGGCCCTCCAGTGCACAAGCTTTGATGGCGATCTTCCTCCCAGTATAAGCGGTGTTGCGAACACTCTGGAGCGTGTGTTGAGCACAGTGGTGAGACGTCCCCAGCGAAATTTAAGCATTTTGAACATTAATGTACGCTTAAACTTGTGGTTTACTTTGAATTTCCCGCCAATGGCTAGGAGCCCTGGGTTTCTCCTAGTCAGCGATGGAGCTCCTCCAAAATCACAACTGGTATCCTTGATTTTTCTGTGTTTTTTAGTGAGATTTGGCAACACGTTGTGTAGACATCTCCTTTTTCTCTGTCCAGATCCCAAGCGCGGGGATGAAAAGTCAGCGTTTTGGAAAAAGTCTTCTCAGCATCCAGTCGAGGTGAGCTAGACCTTTCTCTCCGGGGAAATGGCTCTTGGATGTTCTTCTCGATCCATGGTCTCACTCCTGGCATTGCTTTGCATAGCTCTTCTGCCATGGACTTCTCTCTCCGTCGGGACGCTGAACACTCTGGGACCGATGTGGAGCAAGTCGGACAATCCCAGCTGGAACGGTCGGGCCCCCTACACGAATTCCTTCGCGCTGTGTGTGCTCGAGTCGGGAACTCTCCTGCCATCGTCTCAGGTACGTTTCCAACGCAAAACAACACAGATGCTCCGAGCACTCCCATGTTTGCTCTGAGCTCTGGTGGCTACTTCACGTGCGCGCTTAGCTACGAGAGCAAGAAGCCATTTTGCTGGGGGAATCCCAACTCGACGGTTCCATCGGTTTACAGGGATGTGAGCTACAGCAGCTTGAGCGCTGGACAGGGTCACGTCTGCGCTCTAAGAAGCAGTGGAAAACTCGACTGCTGGGGACAAAACACGTATGGGCAGCTAAACTTTCCGCAAGCTCGCAGCTTTATCCAAGTGAGCTCTGGATATGACTACACCTGCGGGCTCGTCGAGGGTGGCGAGGCTCTTGGGATCGTTCCACCGCTGTTTTCTCCCGCGCACAGCCGAAATCGCCTTTAGTGTTTTGTGAACGCACACTTGCGGACTGGAAAAGGACACTGGGACTGTGGACGACCAACGGCTTTAAAAGCGAAGACCGGCATTTAAATCGCTACTCCTATTTGGTAAGCAAATTAAAGCTAATTTACTACTAATTCACGCACCAACCGTCCGGGTCAACTCTAAAGTCAACAATGTTGACTTTTAAAACATTGTCTGTTGATGCGTAAAATATTCTTATTATATTGTTGTACACTTCTTTTAAGTTCTATTCGATGTCGTAGCAAAGCAAAGGAAGAAATAAAACCTTGGGCAGTCTTTCATTCCCTAAGATTCCTGGTGAGTTTCATAGGGCCGTACGATCTCAAGCACGAAGTTCCAGTAATGGATATATCCAACTTGGAGACCATCGATTCAAGAGAAAGAGCTCTCCAAGCCCTCGGGGGAAGCTGGGGATTCTTCCTGTTGCTAGGACATGGAATTCGGACGAGGTCGGTTTTGCGACCAGCTTGGGGCAGCCTGGCAGACGTGACCTTGCGATCCAAGCAAGCTTTCCGCAAATCTGGCGCGCTACCGAGTTATGAAGCGGAGATTATCGTTATGTCCAGGCGGCTGCTGGAGCTCTTCTCGGAATCGCTGGGACTTGGAGCGAGCGAGCTCGTTAACATGAGGCTGAATCACTGTCCTCCCTGCAACTCACCCTAGGAATCACGGACATAAACACCTTCGCAATCTTGGAAGGACATCCAATTTCTTCACGATGGAGCGAGGGTGACTACCAGGCCTTCGGCCGGAGCTCTTGTGGTCAACATTGGAGACCAGCTCCGGTATGCTCTCAGATGCTTGCTCTTTAGTTTGGATTGAGTTTTCTTCTCGATCGCTAGATTCTCTCTAATGATAAGTTCAAGAGCGTGGACCATCGGTCAATCCCAAAAGAGCTCGAGTTTCGATCGTAATGCCCTTTGTATGGAGAATATACCAAAACCTCCAAATATCTTTGGCGGGAATTTTGTGTAATAAAGAAAAAATGAGTAATATCTTGTCTCGATTTGTGGGTGTCATTTTTGCGGAGGGGCCATGCTAAAAGCAAATGCTTCCATACACGCATCTCGTCTATAGGTCAATTCTAAATCTGACTTTTCAGCGCATCTAAAGCGTGATTTATCGTAGCAAAGGGGAAAAAAGAATCATGGGCAGTCTTTCGTTCTTCAAGATTCCTGGGGAGTTTCACAGGGCTCCGGATCCACACCCATGGAAAGATCTCGATCACGAAGTTCCAGTGGTGGACATATCCAACTTGGAGGAGACCGACTCAAGGGAGAGAGCACTCCAAGCTCTCCGGGACGCCTGTGAGAGCTGGGGATTCTTCCAGTTGCTAGGACATGGAATTCCCCGCGAGCTCAGCGACGAGATGATGGAGGTGGCCTACAAGTTCTTCGATCTTCCAGCCCAAGACAAGCTCGTCTACTACTCGGACAATGTCTTGGACGAGGTCGGTTTTGCGACCAGCTTCGAGCCTCCGAAGTTCGAGGTGTCCAAGAGTCGGCGGCCAAGCGCAACCTGGAAGGAGTTTTTCTTCCAGATGTGCTCCCCACCTTGCGATCCAAGCAATCTTCCAGAAAATCCCGCGCGCTACCGAAACGTCTCCACGAGTTATGGAGCGGAGATCACCGCTCTGGCCAGGCGGCTGCTGGAGCTCTTCTCGGAATCTCTGGGACTTGAAGCGAGCGAGCTCGCCGGGAGATTCGAAGGCGAGCTCATGTCCATGAGGCTGAATCACTATCCTCCCTGCCCGGAGCCACAGCTCACCATTGGAATCCAGCCTCACTCGGACATAAACGCCTTCACGATCTTGCAGCAGGACGTAGAGGGCCTTCAAGTTCTTCACGATGGAGCGTGGGTGACTCTCAAGCCTTTACCCGGAGCTCTCGTGGTCAACATTGGAGACCAGCTCCAGGTATGCTCTTGCTTTCTTAGATTCTTTACATTGAGTGAGTTTTTCTTCTCGATTGATCGCGTGCTAGATTCTCTCCAACGATAAGTTCAAGAGCGTGGAGCATCGAGGAGTGGTCAATGCCGAAAGAGCTCGAGTCTCTATCGTCTGCTTCTACAGCCCCGGTCTGGGTGCTCGCATTAGGCCCATCCCGGAGCTTGTCAACGAGGAATGCCCCGCGAAATACACCGAAAGTTTGTATGGAGAATACGCCAAAGCCTCTCTTAGCATGGAGCTCAATAGGAAGAGCGCTCTGTCCACTCTCAAAGTTGACGTATGAAAAGATAATTTTGTTTTCGAACAAAAAGAGAATCTTAAGCTTTAGAAAAAGTAAATTCAAAGATGATCATTCTCAATACATAACACTTCTGTAATGTTTGAAATAAATGGATAGTAGTCGTCTAAGAACTTTCATCATATTTTGCCACAAAAGAGATCATTTTGAGAGTTTTACTCCATGCTCGTTCTTGCCTCTGTGGTGCTTGCAGCTTCTTCTATGATCCAATGCCAGGCCGCCGCACCAGAACGCAACCATGTAACACCACTGCGTTTCTTGACACTGCCTCCACGTTTTCTGCCCGTGCCACCGGTTAGCTCTTCTCGTTGTTTCATCTCCCTGGAACAGGGTTGCAACTATGCCGCTTGCTCTTGCCACAGTTCACTTAAAGCCCGCGAAGCTCGAGCTGCCAAGCACTCTTTTCAACCTCTGGAATAAACACTAGTAGCAAATTGTTTCAGAGCGCAGAGATCTGGAAACGTAATCCTTTCCATTAGTTTGAGCATCTGACCAAGAAACGTGTTTATGCTTACTTGCGAAGGCACAGAGGAGCACAGACTACGAGCCTCTTCTGGGGCAGCGATAGCACTTTGCGAACAGTCCAAACTCGTGAGCTTGGTTCCTTAGCACGCTGATGCTCGCCCACGTTGCAAAGCCACCGGCCATGATTGCCATCCAAAGGATGGCTCCCAAGTTCATGCAGTGGAGACTTAACCAGCTCGTGCCAAACGGAGGCTGCTCGATTGCATTCTAAACAGCAGTGAGGTTAGATTAATCTTTAGAACCGTGCCAGAGGTTTCATGCGGTACCTTTTGAGATTTGGAAGTCCAGAAGACGAGCACGGACGCAGCACAGGGAATGACGTATAGCCAGGTCATAAAGATGGACCCAGCCGCCGAGCTTAAAGTTCCATAAAACGGGAACATAATAGCCACCAACAAGGATCCCAAAAAGACCGGAGTTCTGACCAACGTTTTCTTCCAGTAGCTTGAAGACTGATGGATTTTAAACCACTTCTCTACAATAATATATAGAGGCTGTGAGCAAATCCCATACTGGATGAGCTGCTCAGCACGGCCGTCAATAGTATAGATAGAGAACCGCGTGTGAATACCTGATGTAGGAGCATAAGAACCACTGCCGCATCACGAAATTTTGTGCGTGGGAGCATAGAGAAGACATTGTACTGCACGTTGTCTCCGAAAGCCCAGTAGACGCTTATAATCGAAAACAGCACCACAGGTGTCATGAACAAGTCCGAATAGAGAGAAGTCAGCTTGTATTTTGAAGGTTGCCACATCGCATCCATTAGCTCTCTGCAAAGTAAAGATTCAAAGTCGAGTCTAGAACTTGAGTAAATGCTTACACTGGGATCGCATGAGCTCCAAATATGATAGTGCTAGCAAACCCGTTAAAGTAGCTCCTGATGCTGTGTGGTGCCGTGTGCCTCACGTCGTTATCCTGCACGAAGCTCAGAACCGCTTGAAACACACAATATATACCTGGTGAATCGCCAAAGAAGCAAATGCCATATACAAAGCAGTGCAAACGATCATCACAAGACCGGCGAAAGACCACATTCTATAGTTCCGAAGGGAGGGAATGAAGACAGTCGTTGCAAAGCATGAACCGAGGACTAAAGTCCAAGTTCTTCGTTCTAACTTGTCATTGATGTAGTATACTACGCTGCAAACATTCGAATTTCAACGATTTGGAACACCGAATTCATCACTTACTTTCCAACAGCAACCATTTGAATAGCTGCAAAGCTGAACATGATTCCAAAGCTAAATATCAGTGTGATTGTTTCCCAGCGGCGTCCTAAAAGACCGCCAAGAACCTCGTGCATCTGCTAGACGTAAAGAATGTAAAGACGTAAAGAACACGAGTTTCTTCGTGAAAAGCCACTCACTCCACCTGTATAGTGTGGCGCTTGAAAGAGTGGGGGTTGTCTTTCAGCGTATTATGACGATACTGCAGGTATAAGGTGTTCATCATCCAAGAGCTCCAGCAGCCTACAGTAGACTGAATCAAGATAGCAAGTATGCCAGAAACGAATCCCATTTGCGACATTGCAAAAGGTAGCGACAGCAGCAATTGCGATATCTGTTAACAAAGACCAGAAATTCCAGTGGAAGAAAAACAAAAACCATACCTTGGTTGTCGACATGTTCAACCAGGCATCAACGGTAGAACCCCCATCGCAAAAGACCGTCGAAAAGAAACGCGAAATCGTGGGAGTAGAACCAAACGAGATGTGAATGCCAGACGCACTAGCGCCAGACGAAACATGAAGAACATAATTCGCTTCTCCAGTCTCTGCATCGGCATCATCGTAGGAGGACATCCTTAGATCTTGCGGCAGGGAAATCTAAAGGTTTGTGTGCATACCATATTATGAGGTCAAATATTCTTGTCGATGTCTGATCGCATCTTACGTTATAAGCATGTTCTAGCGATGATTTCTTCCGCCTTCTCATCAAGCTGCGCCACTAAGACATGACGGAATGTGATCATCACTTCCAAGCCTGTGGGAGTTATTTACAAAACATACTAAAACTATTACGTACGTACTACGTATTTACGCCCGGTCAAGCTGGGTGGGTCCATAACACGTAACGTTCAAGTCGGTCAAGTAGAGGAACTTTACCAATTGAATCTGTGCCAAGGTCCTACAGTGAAAGCAATATCGGTCAATCTCCTCAATCGTCACTCCGGCACTCACCTAAAGAACTCGAAGAGCCCTGAGCGGCATGGAAGACGAAAGTTGGATGAAGCTCATATTGATCAACCAGGGATACTTCATCTCCTCGTCCCTCAAGGCCTTGGTGAAGCTCAAGGTACCTGACATCCTCAACAAAGCCGCACCCTCGCTCTCCCCAGTAGAGATCTGCGACCAGCTGCCGCTCCGCAGCAAAGCCACTCTAGATTCTTCCGCATCTCAGCTGGGTCGACTTATGCGTGCTCTGGCCATGTTTGGTGTCTTCCAAGAGTGCCCCTCGTCAGAGGGAGAACAGAGGTATGGCCTCAACGCCGTCTCCAAGCACCTAGTCACAGAAGGCAATAGCGAATCAATGGTACCATCGATGATGTTTTTCCCGAAGCAGTATAATGTATGGGACTTGTTACCTGACGCTATACTCGAAGGTGTACAGCCAGGCTCCAAAGCTCATGGTGGAAAGTCGGTGTTCGAGCTGGACCCAGCCATCGTCAAGGTGTTCAACACCGTCATGTCAGCTTACACGAGACGGACCATGCGGCTCGCTCTGCAAGTTTACGACGGCTTCCAGCATGCGGAGGTGATTGTGGATGTCGGTGGCAGCTTGGGAGCGTCTCTAGAAATCATCCTTGCCAAGTACCCGAACGTCAAAGGGATTAACTTCGATCTCCCAGCGGTCGTGGAACACGCTGCAAAAGTACAAGGTTCGTCACAAATTTGTATGTGTCTTGAAATGCACTTACTATCTAATCTTCAGGTATGGAAAACGTCGGAGGAGACATGTTCGTCTCCGTTCCTCAAGGAGACCTCATGTTGCTGAAGGTAAAAAGATGTCTACGGCCAAGATGGAAAATCTAAGAGCTAGACTTTGGCATTTACTTTTGCAGTGGGTTCTACACGACTGGAATGACGAAAAAGCTATCAAGATCCTTGAAAACTGCCGCCAATCACTTGCAGAGGGAGGCAAGGTGGTGGTAATTGATGCACTTCTGCCGGAGGTTGCTGAAAAAAGCGACGAATATAGCCTGGCTGACAAGAATGCAGTTTTGTATGATCTAGCTATGCTAACAACAGGAGAAGCAGCAAAGGAGAGAACTTACAAGGAGTTGGAGCAAGTTGCGATGGCTGCCGGCTTCTCCAGCTTATCAGTCAGAGCTAGAGTCGACTCTGCCTCCATTATCGAGATCTATCCTTAAAAATTCCAGACAATCAGTGCAATCCAGATATTTGTGAAACGCATTACCTGCTTGATGCTGTTGCTGGTTGCTGTTCGCGAGAAATCACGTCGTCCTCTGTATCGTCACTGGTTCCATCACTAAAGTCGTTACTGTCGCTCACTTCTGTTGGATGATCACTTTCATAAGTTGTGTCCTCCAGTTCTTCATCGTTAACGGCCTTGGAAAGATCCGGCTCAGCCTCAGGCGAGGAATCTGGAGTACAAAGACTGCTCCGGCTTCTTCTTCGCGGATCTGTTAGAGGTAGCAAGCTCCGCTTAAGTGGTCTCTTCTTCCTTGAAACAAGCGCCAGTTCCACGTACTTCCGACGCAAATCAATGTACGGGGACATCTCAATCTTGTAGTCCCAGTGGTAAGCTTCCCTCAAGAACACGAAGTAATAGTTGTTGAGCCGTTCCATGGCGAAGAACAGCGATTCCCTCCGCAAAAAACTTGGCCAAGTCCTCTGGAAGCTGGAGCTCGTCTTTGAGAATCGCTAGATCTCTCACATTCGCTCGCTTCAGCAACGTCAAGCTTAGAAACTCGTGACACACCGCGAGAGACCGCTTCCGTGCCTCTGGCGAGCCATCCGGATCGTCAACTTTAACACCACGCTCGTATGGAGAATCAAACCGGCGCTTCTGGAAGGACAAGAGCTTCAAGTATCTGTCCCTTTCCATCTCGCAGTTGTTCTTGAAAGCTACTCGAAAGCTGTGAGCATTTCCCTCGCAAAACTTGTCCTTGCGGCTCGGGTCAATATGTTTTACCCCCCGGAGCTCTCGAGCCGTGACCGCTAGCGCTGGATCCCAAGCCCCCAGCTCCAGCATCGCGTCGTCCTTTTGGTTCCTGGTGATCGTGAAAAAATCCGGGAACCTGACCAGGGTGGTGGTCTCGAAATCCTCGGAGAAGCCAAAGCACGGCTTGAGAATGTTAAGCTTCTTCACTGGAATCCTCCCTTCCTTGGCCATCATCAAGAGCTTCCTCAAGACCTGGATAGCATACGGCTCGTGCTGCTTTAGAACTTCCTCCTCCCTCTTCATGAGGTGCTTCATCGTCTCGGTCAGCTCCACAATCTTACGGGACTTTTTGTCACACATCTCAAACATGAGCCGGAATTTCCTCAGAAAGAAGTCGGAGTCCCTGTTGCGAAATCCCAGCTTCTTGGCGACCTTTTGGAACCTTTGAGACGAGCTCCGTGGCAGCCACGGCCCCGGCCACACGATGGATGAGCCGCATTTCCTTCTCGCGCACGGCGAGCTTGGCGTAGGTCATCGCGTCCTGGCCGCCGCTGAATCCGCCCATAGATCGCTTGCTCCAGACCATACATCCTGTAAGAATGCGAATCCCTGTGGCGGATCCCAGTACCTGGCGTTGCCGCATCGCCCTTGTAAAGCCCTAAACCGTTCTTCCCGCCAATGGGAAGAACCCTAAAAAGAAGGAACTTAACAGTGAATCATCTAACATAGACAAGACAATATTATTGTCCTCGTATATCTAAGGTGGTTCTCGAGCAATTTGCACACTGCTTGCAGAGGTCGCACTTATCCTTGCACAGCTCCTCGCGCAAACTGCGCATGTCCTCACCCAGTTCCTGGCGCAGTTTGTGCAGCTCCTCACTCAGTTTTTTGTGCAAGTCCTCGAGCAAATCCTCGCCCAATTTGCGCAGGGCCTCCAGCAACATCTCGCCCAAGTCCACAGTCTCGCTACAAATCAAAAGTCAAACAAAGATGAGGAACAAACAAACTTACGTGATGGGGTGGATTTCATTCACACCCCTTAACTTGCAGTCGTCTTCGAACACTCTGCAGTGCTGTGTCACGGGACACCAAGATGTTAACAGTAGTAGTGCTGTCATTAAAAGTATTTGATTCATGTTAGTTTTTGCCGAAGAAACCCAGTAGATCCAAGAGCCTTTAATCTTAGCCGTCTACGGGTGGTGATATGAGACTGTTCAAACGATTGCTTTGGAAAGCCCAGAAGTTTAGCTATTACGCTGAGATCACCCTGGTCAGCGCATGGAAGATTTTCTTGCTCTCCTGGAGCAAGTCGGACAATCCGAACTCGGACGGCCGGGCTCCATACAGGAATTCCTTCGCGCTGTGCTTGCTCGAGGCGGGAACACTCATGCCATCGTGCTCAGGAACTTTTCCAACGCAAAACAACACAGATGCTCCAAGCACTCCCATGTTTGTTCTGAGCTCCGGTGGCTACTTCACTTTCGGACTTAGCTACGAGAGCAAAAACCACGATGCTGGGGGAATTCCACGATGGCCGTTCCATCGGTTTACAGGAATGTCAGCTATAGCAGCTTGAGTGCCGGACAGGATCACGTCTGTCCGCTGAGAAGCAGTGGAAAGCTAGACTGCTGGGGATCAAACGTGGATGGGGAGCTAGACGTACCGAAAAATCGCAGCTTTGTCATGGTGAGCTCTGGCTATGGCTACACTTGCGGGCTCATCAAGACTGGTGAAGCGTTTTGCTGGGGGTGAGATGCTCCATCCCGTTCACTGGCCAGTGGTATCACCTTTGGTGCTTTGTTCTCCGGAGGAACACACGCTTGCGGTAAAGAACAGTAGCGCTCCGGTTTGTTGGGGATATAACGACCACGGACAGGAGGTCCAGGGCCGGTTGACGACCCAAGCATTTTATTCGCTAGCTTTGAGACTGTTCCACTCATGCGGAATAGTGAAGGACACAGGGAACGTAGTCTGCTGGGGTGACAATGCTTTCAACCAGACGGATGGCCCGAAAGGCGAGACCTTTTCAGTCATTTCAGCTGGAGACTACTACACTTGTGGTGTGAGCTTGAAAGATCCAGAGAAGCAAGCAGCAGTACCAGCTTGTGCAAGCTGGCTCGAAGAGGTGTCCGGTTGCTGGCGATCGAGTGTGTCTCGAGTGTTTACGAGGCAACAAGCGGTGCACGGGAACCGAGCCAACGAAATTGCATCAAGGAACTTAGCAGTGGGATTTTCCATGGGAGGAATCTTCATTCTTGGTGCTGCTGCTTTTACAGCGGGGTATTTTCTTCGGCGACGACACAAGCGTCCATTTCAATGTGGCTGTTTACCTTGGCGAGGGAAACCATCCACATCGGAGGAATGGGAGATTCTAGCAAACAGGCTGGTGACTTTCAGTAGCTCGGAGATCATCCACGAAGGCTACCACTCAGACATGATCGTCGAGAAAGGTGCCCGCAGAGTGGTGTATAAGCCTGTTCTTCCGGATGGACGAGCGCTGGCTTTGAAGAAATCCCGTGCCGATGACAAGTCTTTGATGAAGGAGCTGTCCCTGCTAGCCAGATTACACCACACTTATCTCGTGAACTTGGTGGGATACTGCGGCTCGCTCTTCGACTGCCTTTTCAAGAAGCCAGAGATCAGGCTGGATTGAATTCGCATCGCAGCACAGGCAGCTCGAGGACTGGAGTCCTTACACAAGTATGCGTCTCCAGAAATACTCCATCGAGATGTGAAAGCAGCAAACATACTCTTGGATGGGGACTGGAACGCTTGTCCGACTTTGGCTTCTCCCTCTCGACGTCGGGGAGTAGCACCCGGTTCATGACAATGGTCGGAACACCTGGCTACATGGACCCGGAGAGCAAACCATCAAGTTCACCACCAGGAGCGACGTCTACAGCTTTGGAGTGGTGCTGCAGGAGCTCCTCACAGGTCGACAAGCGATTCAAAGCTCGGAGAAGCTCCGCAGAGCTGGAAGAGGTGCTCGAGCTGGCCCTCCAGTGCACAGGCTTTGATGGCGATCTTCCTCCCAGTATAAGCGGTGTTGCGAACACTCTGGAGCGTGTGTTGAGCACAGTGGTGAGACGTCCAGAGGAGAATTTCAGTGCCTCGAGCAGTACTACTACGAATGTTTTTACTAGCAGCAGCTGCTCGAAAGAACTCTGAAGTAGCGAAATAATTAAGCATTTTGAACATTAATGTTATCCAAATTACGCTTAAACTGTGGTATCCTTGATTTTTCTGTGTTTTTTAGTGAGATTTGGCAACTAGACATCTCCTTTTTCTCTGTCAAGATCCCAAGCGCGTGGGATGAAAAGTCAGCGTTTTGGAAAAAGTTTTCTTGGCATCCAGTCGAGGTGAGCTAGACCTTTCTCTCCGGGGAAATGGCTCTTGGATGTTCTTCTCGATCCATGCGCTCACTCCTGGCATTGCTTTGCATAGCTCTTCTGCCATGGGCTTCTCTCTCCGTGGGGACGCTGAACACTCTGGGACCGATGTGGAGCAAGTCGGACAATCCCGACTGGAACGGTCGGGCTCCATACACGAATTCCTTCGTGCTGTGCGTACTCGAGTCGGGAACTCTCCTGCCATCGTGCTCAGGTACGTTTGCAACGCAAAACAACACAGATGCTCCGAGCACTCCCATGTTTGCTCTGAGCTCCGGTGGCTACTTCACTTGCGGGCTTAGCTACGAGAGCAAGAAGCCATTTTGCTGGGGGAATCCCAACTCGACGGTTCCATCGGTTTACAGGGATGTGAGCTACAGCAGCTTGAGCGCTGGACAGGGTCACGTCTGCGCTCTAAGAAGCAGTGGAGAGCTCGACTGCTGGGGACAAAACACGTATGGGCAGCTAAACTTTCCGCAAGCTAGCTTTATCCAAGTGAGCTCCGGATATGACTACACCTGCGGGCTCGTCGATGGTGGCGAAGCTTTCTGCTGGGGATGGGATCGTTCCAACGCTCTTTTCTACCGCGCACAGCCGAAAAACGTCGCCTTTAGTGTTTTGTTCTCCGGAGGAACGCACACTTGCGGACTGGAAAAGGACACTGGGACTGCGTTTTGCTGGGGGTGGAACAACTTCGGACAGTGTAGCTCATACGCGGAGGACGTGAAGTTTTCTTCGCTAGCCTTGGGACTTTTCCACTCTTGCGGGATTGTGAAGGGGAAGGGGAACGTAGTCTGCTGGGGAGACGGTGCTTTCAATCAGACGGCTCCACCGAAGGACGAAGCGTTTTCGGTCATTGCGGCTGGAGACTACTACACTTGTGGCGTGAGTTTGAACGATTCGCAGAGAGTCAAGTGCTGGGGGAATTCAGTGGTGGTTACGGGGAACGTCAAAGTGAGCCAAGGACTGTGTAGCAGTCAAGCATGCAGCGTCCAACAGTACGAGCTTTCGGAAGATAATTCGAAGAAATGCCCGGTTGCTGGAGATCGAGTGTGTCTCGACTGTTTACAAGGCAATATGAAGTGCATGGGAGCACCAAGTCCAAGTCCAAGTTCTTTGCAAAAGATTAACAAGGATCTGGAGAAACCGAAAAGTACGAGTGGTTTGGCAGTAGGAATTTCGGTGGGGGCAGTAATAGCAGTGATTCTTGCTGCTGTTGCGGGATACTGTATCTGGAGACGAAGAGCTCAAGGATCATTCAAAACTAAGGCATGGGAAACCTTCGCAAACAGGCTGGTGGCGTTCAGTGGCTCGGACCTCGTCCGTGCTACAGAAAACTATCGCTCCGAGATGATCATTGGGAAAGGTGCTAGCGGAGTGGTCTACAAGGCTGTTCTCCCGGACGGACGAGCACTGGCTTTGAAGAAATCTCGAGCCGGTGACAAGTCTTTAGTGAAGGAGCTCTCCCTGCTGGCCAGGTTACACCACGCTTACCTCGTCAACTTGGTGGGATACTGCGCTCAAGAGCAGCTCCTGGCTTTCGAGTTCATGGAAAACGGCTCGCTCTTCGACTGCCTATTCAAGAAGCCAGAGATCCGACTCGACTGGTTTCTAAGGATCCGCATCGCAGCACAGGCCGCTCGAGGACTGGAATACTTGCACATCTACGCATCTCCACAGATACTCCACCGAGACGTGAAAGCAGCAAACATACTCCTGGACAAGGACTGGAACGCACACTTGTCCGACTTTGGCGTCAGCCTCTCGCCCTCCGGAAACACCACGCAGCTCGCGACGATGGTGGGAACACCAGGCTACATGGATCCGGAGTACTTCCAGACGGCGAAGTTCACCACCCAGAGCGACGTCTACAGCTTTGGAGTGGTGCTGCTGGAGCTCCTCACAGGCTGCCAAGCAATGCTAAGCTCCGAGAGGAGCTTGGTCTCGTGGGTTCTTCTCCAGCGCGGCAAGAGCAACACCTGCTCGCTGTTTGATCCGAGGATTTTCCTTCCAGAGAACACGGCAGCGCTGGAAGAGGTGCTCAGGCTAGCTCTCCAGTGCACAAGCTTCGATGCCGAGCACCGCCCAACGATAAGCTCCATAGCCAGCACCTTGGAGCGTGTCTCGAGCCCAGTGGCGGCACGCCCGGACGAAATCTCTAATGGATCGAGTGGTACCAACGTGTTCACCAGCAACTCTTGGAATTGATACCCAAGAAAAGAAAAAAGCTTTCGTGTGTTCTTGTTCCACCGAAAGGCCATCTCTTCAAAAGAGACAAACGCGCCAAAACAGAGCGAGCATATTCCCTGAAAGAGAAAGGAGAAATTTGGATTATACACGCAATGACGTGGCGCCTGGTCATTCGATCCACATTGCGCTGACTCAGCAGGCCTTCCGCCCTAAAATATCAGGCATGTGCGGCGATGTGAATCGCGTCTCAGGCGCGCTGTTCATCGCGCTAGAAATCGATCGGCCGCGTCGCCAATCTCATCGCATTCCTCTCGTCTTCTCGACCTAGGAATGCCATAGCGCGCATTCTTTTTTCCCCAGCGAGGGGAGGTTTTGGTGCGAGGCGCGGCGGATTTTTTCCAGTTTCGCCGCGGTCAGCTGCTGGATCCGCGATCCACCGGCATAGTTCTTTGATTCTTTTGGAGAGGAAGGCCTTTGCTTCTTTCTCTCTGCCCAAATTCTTCTCGACTGCCGCTACTGCCACTGCTATCGACATGACAATCACGCCAGATATCACGCTGGCCGATGGGAGCCTCGTGACTCATGGGGGAGTCTTGCTGGCCAATGTCCCGGACAACGTTACTCTCACTGTGGACTCTCAGAGTGGAGTTTTTCTCGGTGTCCAAGCTCTTGAGAAAAGTTGCCGGCATGTCTTCACTCTTGGTGTTCTCGAGTAAGTCCTCGTTTTCCCTTTTCCTTGGTTTTTCGAGCTTACAAACTCGTTGTTCCTTCAGGCGTCTTAGATTCTTGTGCTGCTTTCGATTTAAGTTATGGTGGATGACCCAGAGAACTGGGACTTGCGGCAGCGATGTGCCGCTGGAAACTCAATTCCTTCTCCTTGAGAGCAAGTCCAGTGATGAAGCTATCTACACGGTGTTTCTTCCGATGGTGGAAGGTGCTTTCAGGTCCTCATTGCAAGGCAGTGCCGAGAACGAGTTGGAGATCTGCCTTGAAAGTGGTAAGTGTTACTGCTTGATTTTTTTTCGTTCCTGATGCGTGTATCTATTGTTTTCTCGTTTTGTCAGGGGATCCGGCAGTGGTTTCGCTGCAGGGACTGCATACGTTGTATATCCACTCTGGTTCAAATCCATTTCAAGTTTTAAATGATGCGATGAGGTAAGAGAACTAGTTTGAGTGAGCAACTTCTAAGCGCAAGAAGTCTATTTTGTTGCAGGGCCGTGAAATCCCATCTTCAAACTTTTTCTCTCCGGACTGAGAAGAAAGTAAGCCGTGGTGCGACATGAACTTTGTAAAATTCTTGTGTTCTTGTTTAGCTTCCAGGAATGCTAGACTGGTTCGGCTGGTGTACGTGGGATGCATTCTACACTGATGTCTCCGCGGCTGGTGTGAGGAACGGATTGGAAAGGTTGGAATCTTAATGATTTTCAGCAAAGTTTCCTTATCGTGACAGCTTTTTGCTTCTTTTTTTTCTGCAGCCTTTGTGCCGGCGGAACACCGCCTCGATTCCTGATTATAGATGATGGATGGCAGTCAGTGGCGCACGACGATCCACCCGGATCCGTGCAACAAGCTGAGACACAAGTCATTACAAGTGGCGTGCAGTAAGCATCAAGCTATTTTTATTGGCGAGTTGACGCATGTCTCTTTTCATGATCTCTCAGGTTTGCCAAAAGATTGACAGATATCAAGGAAAATCATAAGTTCCAAAGAAATGGAGAGAGCGGGCTTCACCACATAGTTGCTGAGGCCAAAAGCGAATACAATCTCAAGTGAGTTATACTTTCATATCTTTGGTCAGGCATGAATGCTTATTTCGTTTTGCCTTGGCAGATATATTTACGTGTGGCATGCTGTGCTGGGTTACTGGGGAGGCTTGCAGCCTGGTCTATACCAAGCAAAATTGGCGTACCCATCGATTTCCCCTGGCCTGCTACAGCATCAACCAGATATGGCACATGACAGCCTTACCTTGCATGGTTTGGGACTTGTGGATCCAAACCATGCTTTTGCTTTCTACAACGAGCTCCACAGCTATCTTGCCAGTAGCGGCATTGACGGGGTGAAGGTTGATGTCCAGAGCATTCTGGAAACGCTTGGCGAAGGACATGGTGGCCGAGTACAGCTGACAAAGAAGTTTTACCAAGCTCTTGAAGCATCGATTGCTCGAAACTTTCCAGATAATGGCTGCATCGCCTGCATGAGCCATAACACCGACGGTTTCTACAGGTCAATTTAGTTCTGCTTCGTTGTTTTGACTTGCTGCGTCGCTTGCAGTTCAAACAAGACCGCCGTTGTTCGTGCGTCAGACGACTTTTGGCCAGCAGATCCAGCATCACATACTATTCATATTGCTTCTGTCGCGTACAACAGTCTCTTCCTTGGGGAAGTTATGCAGCCAGACTGGGACATGTTCCAGGTGAGTTTTGTTTCGTTTGCTGTTTTTCAAACTCAAAAGTAATTGTCTCGTTTCTTCGCGATTCAGAGCTTACATCCGGCAGCTGAGTATCATGCTGCTGCTCGAGCAGTCGGGGGCTGTGGCGTTTACGTCAGGTACGTAGCAATCAAACCTCATGTGAGTGTCTGATACGATGTTCTTACGTTTCAGTGACAAGCCCGGGCATCACGACTTCAATTTGCTGAAGAAGCTAGTTTTACCAGATGGCTCCGTTCTGCGAGCTCAACTCCCTGGACGGCCTACTCGTGACTGCCTCTTTTCAGATCCCACACAAGATGAGAAAAGGTAAAGAAAGAGAACTTCTCAAAAGCCTCGACATACTTTGGGGTTTTCCACAGCATTTTGAAAATATGGAACGTGAACAAGCACACGGGAGTGATAGGTGCTTTCAACTGTCAAGGTGCCGGATGGTGCAAAGTAAGCAAGACCTACAGGATTCACGACGATTCTCCAATGACCGTCACGGGAAGCATCCGTGCCTGTGATGTTGAGTTCCTGGACACAGTCGTAGCAGCCGACTGGAACGGCGATGCGGTTGTTTACAGTCACAGAGCTGGTACGTTTCTGAAAGTTATTGACTGGAAGCTTTTCTCATGCCGATTTTCTTCCAGGCGAATTAGTTCTTCTCCCGAAAGGCACCGCAATACCAGTGAGTTTAGAGCACTTGAAGTATGAAATCTTCACGATTGTACCAGTCAAGGTAAGGATTTTCACCACGATTTCCAGGAAAGTTTTGTTAAAACTCTTCGTTTTGCTCGCGCAGTGTATCTCGGAAGACTTGGTGTTTGCTCCAATCGGTCTTGTTAACATGTTTAACTCCGGAGGGGCGATCACGTCCCTGGATTACGCGGTCGCGGAGGCCACAAACGATGGAAGTGGCAACGCAGTGACTGAAAATCACAGTCCGTGGATGTGGTGTGTTTGGAGCTTACTCCTCCAGGCGACCAAAATCAGTGACATTGGAATCGTCTGGAAATCTGGATTTTTTCTATGATTCTAACACTGGATTCGTCAAGATCGATCTTGGAGAGAGAGGAGGTGAACTCTCTATCGCTATGTAACAGTTACCATTTTTTAAAAAGTCGAATATTCTGGAGGATCGTTTACAAAGCGAATATTATTTAGGGCTCATGCGAGGGAAGAGAGCGATCACTTTAGGTAAGGGCTCGTCGATTCTAAGGCGCTGGTTTCGATCTGATCGCCAAGAGCAGCAAAACCTCCAGGGATCTAGCCGCCGAGAACAGCAACATCAGCAGCCGCGTAGAGAACAGGGAAATTTCGACAGCAAGTCAAGCTTTCTAGCGGCAGTGAAGGCGTGTAGTTGCGCCAAGGATCTCCGAGAGGGCAGGCGCCTCCATTCTAGCGCTGTTGCCAATGGCCTCGCCTCGAGCATCGTCGTGGCAAATGCGCTGGTCAGTATGTTCGCGAAATGCGGCAGCCTTGCGGATTCTCGCGCCGTCTTCGACGAGATGGCGATCCACGACGTGGTGTCCTGGAATTCGCTGATCCTGGGCTACGCAGAGAATGGCGAGCCGGAATCAGCATTGGAACTCTTCGATCGCATGAGAAGAGAGGGTTTCAAGGCTGACAATCGGACCTACGTTGCGGCCCTCATGGCGTGCATTGCTCTGGGCGCACAGGAAGACATGAAGCGGCAGCACGGGAAGAAATCTCTGGAAAGAATGGTGGTTCTAGAGAAGGGTCGAGAGATCCATGCTCAAGCTTCCACCGCTGGCTATGGATCCAACATCTACGTTGCAAACACGCTCATCAACATGTACTCAAAGCTTGGGTGCCTTGAGGAGGCTCGAGAGGTGTTCGACCGGATTGGAAAGGAGGAGAGGAGCGTTGTGTCGTGGACCGCGATGATGATGGGGTGTAACGAGAATGGAGACGAGCAGGAAAGTTTGGAGCTCTTTCGGCAAATGCAACGCCATGGCTGTCCTCCCAACTCTCGGACTTTTGTCGCAGCGCTCATGGCCTGTGCTGGATTGGCCGAGAAAGCTGATGGGAGTGACAAGGCCGAATATCTTGAGAAGGGACGAGCGCTTCATTCACAAGCTGTGAAAGGTGGCTGCGGCTCGGACGTTTTCTTCGCGAGCACTTTGATCCATATGTATTGCAAGTGTGGGAGCCTGGAAGATGCTAGAGCCGCGTTCCAGCGAATGCAGCGCTTGGACGTGGTGTCCTGGAACGCTCTCATCCTGGGACACGTTGAGAATGGCGAGAGCCAGCGTGCACTCGAGATCTTCGGCGGCATGAAGAGGATCGAGAGACATCGCCGCTGCTCGCCGAACGCTCGGACTTTCGTTGCTGCGCTCATGGCCTGCTCCAGCCTGGCTGCACAAGAAGCTGGCAAACAGGTTGACGGGAAGCTCGTGAAGCCGGAGAGTTTGCAGAGAGGGATGGATGTACATTCGCAAGCGGTGCAGTGTCGCTGCGAAACGGAGCTTTTCGTGGCCACCACCTTGATCGACATGTATTCGAAGTGCGGGAGCATGGTCGAAGCCCGAAAGTGCTTCGACAAGATGCCCAGCCGCAACGTCGTTACGTGGAATTCTCTCATCCTGGGCTACGCGGAGAACGGTGACGGTGAGCAGGCCTTGCAAGCCTTCCGGCGGATGAAAGCCAACAAACGTCTCGTGCCGGACACTCGAACTTACGCTGCAGTGCTGATGGCCTGTGGCAGCATGGCGTCGCTTGAAACCGCGAGAGACGTCCATAGCGAGATTCGTGGTCTCGGGCTCGACCAAGATGGATTCATCGCCAACTGCTTGGTGGACTGCTACTGCAACTGTGGGAGCTTGGAAGAGGCAACACAGGTTTTTGACGCGCTGGGCAGCAAGAACGTTGTCTCCTGGAGCTCGCTCATAGCAGGATACAGCCGCCACGGCCACGTAAAACAGGCTCTCGACTTGTTCCAGAAGATGCAAGACGGTGGCTTCCAGGCGGACAAGATGACCTTCACGTCCATCCTCACGGCTTGCAGCCACGCCGGACTGGTGGAAAAAGGGAAGGAGCTGTTCGAGCTTATGGCCTCCAAGCACGGCGTGGAGCCGGACATGGACCACTACCACTGCATGATCGATCTTCTAGGCCGCGCAAACCATCTGGAGGAGGCAGTGGCGATGGCGGAGGGAATGCCGTTTGATCCAAATGCCGTGACTTGGAAGACGGTGCTGGGGGCGTGCCAGAAGTGGAACAACGTCCGGATCGCGAGGGTGGCGTTTGAGAGGCTGCGGCAAGTCGACGGGGAGCAAGCGGCGCCGTACGTTCTCATGGCAAACATCTTTGGAAGCTCGATCTCGTCCAGCGACAAGTCTTGCTCCAACTGCTCGACGAGGAAGACTTAAGGTAGCAGTTGCTTTATTTTCCACGCAACCTGAAGTTTAATTTGATTTCTAGAAAGGTGATGCAAGAGTAACAAATCAAGTTGTCTTCGTCGGAACAGCAGTTCTCTATAATATGGAGATGGCCTGTGGATCCAGAGCATCAAATCGATGGACTTGGGTGTGGCCTTGTTCCTCCTTAGCGTCGGCTTGACCACACTGTCACTTCTCATCGGGAGAATTCTATCTTCGCAGCGGCGGCTCCCTCCAGGTCCCTTCTGTTTCCCCATTTTTGGAGCACTCTTCTCCCTCCAGGAGCCACTCCACCAGCACTTTGCGAAGATCAGCAAGAAGTATGGGCCGATTGTCTTCCTCAAGGTCGGAATGGTCCCGTTTGTGGTGGTGACCGACAAGGAAATGGCAGCGCAGGTTCTTAAGGCCCACGACCTCGAGTTTGCAAGCCGACCGGACGAAGAGTTCTTTCGGATCGTCAGCCACGACTGGAACGATCTTATCCTGGCGCCCATCGGTGAGAAGTGGAAGACAATGAGGAGGATTTGTAGCACACACCTGTTTAACAACAGTACGCTAAAGGCTAGCGCAGGATTCCGGGAGTCGGAGATGAAGCATGCAGTCAAGGCCATTTTCCAGCATTCCGGGACAACGATCAAGCTGCAAGAGGTTTTGAGCAATCTCGCGTCAAATTCACTATGCCTGGTTCTTTTTAGCAAGCGGGGGGTGGAAGTGGTGGATCTCATCCGGAACATACTCGGTCTAAGCTTGAACTTGAACATTGGAACCCTGCTTCCGGCACTCGACTGGCTGGATCTTCATGGAGTCTACAAGAAGCTCAACACGGAGCTCGTACCTCGCCTTAAGCTCGTGCTGGAAGATCAAATCGACAAGCATCGACGCAGGAAAGATGAAGCTGGGGATACATTCGTCCCTCAGGACTTCACCGACGTTCTTATATCTCTCGAGGACAAGGATAAGCTGTCAAACATCTCCATCTTGGCACTGCTCTCGGTAAGCATCTAGATCGTGGTCGTGATCACTGAAAAACTCTAGTTTTGCGTCAGGACATGGTTATTGCAGGGTTGGAAACTTCACTAGTGACGCTCGAGTGGACGATGGCGGAGCTCATAAACCATCCCCAAGTCATGTCCAAGGCTCAAGAGGAGATCGACAGCGTTGTAGGGACAGCTCGCGCGGTGCAAGAGTCCGACCTTCCAAACCTTCCATACATCGAAGCCATTGTCAAGGAATCACTGCGTCTCCACCCGGCGGTGCCACTGGGCGCTCCTCACATGAATCCCAAGCCTGTCAAGCTGGGAGGCTACACCATCCCTGGCGGCTGCAAGGTTCTCGTAAACATATGGGCCATTGGACGCGATCCCGCTCGCTGGTCCGACCCAGAAGCGTTCCAGCCGGAGCGCTTTCTCGGCTCCTCCATCTCTCCCAACGGGCAGAACTTTGACTTCCTTCCATTCTCATCGGGGAGGAGAGTTTGTGTTGGCTATCCACTCGCGATGAGATCCATCCCTTTTTTCGTGGCCAGTTTGCTCCAGGCATTCGATTGGAGTCCTGCTAACCCGAGCGGGATCGACATGGAAGAATGCACGAGAAGTACAACTATGAAGCTGAATGCTGACTTGCTTGTAAACGCGTCCATCAGGGTCGATCAAAATATAATATAAAGCTTTCTATACCATGTTGATTAAATTGTTTAGCGTTGGAGATGTTTCAAATACAATATAAATACAAATACTAGGTGTTTTAAAGTCCAATGCTCGATGTTAATAGCAACAGCTAGTACATTACGCAATCCTGAACAGAGTAGATGTAGAAGTAGTCAATCTGTTAAAGCTCTAGGGGCCTCCTTCAAGCCTCGATGGGCACCCGTGTTGAGTTTCTGGACAAAGTCGCAGCGATGCGGTTGTTTACATTGAAAGTCGTTGGTTTTCTCATGCCGATTTTCTTCCAGGCGAATTACCGCAATACCAGTGAGTTTAGAGCACTTGAAGTATGAAGTCTTCACGATTGTACCAGTCAAGGTCAGCATTTTCACCAAGATCTCCCGGAAATTCTAGTTAAAACTCGTCTTTTGCTCGTACATTGAGGACCAATGTGTTTGCTCCAACTTTGTGGACCCTGCGATTGCGTAATCCAGGGACGTGATCGCCCCTCAGGAGTTAAATATGTGATTGATGGAAGTGGCGACGTCGTGACTGAAAATCACTGTCCGTGGCTGTGATGTGTTTGGAGATTACTCCTCCAAGCGGCTAAAATCAGTGACATTGGAATCGTCTGGAAACCTAGACTTTTTTTCTGATTCCAAGTCATATTGCTACATAACAGTATCTTTCTTTGTTTTTTAAAAAACCCTAGCCCTAATTGACTGACGGAAACTGCTATGACACGTCGGATTTGCGTTAGCGTCCGATCGCCAAGAACAGCACGATCTAGCCGCCGGGAACAGCATCGTAGGTCTTTCTAGGCAGTGAAGTCGTGTAGCAGCGCCAGGGGTCCCCGGGACTCCATTCTAGCGCTGTTGCCAATGGCCTTGTCAGTATCTTTGCGAAATGCGGCAGCGTGGCGGATTCTCGCGCCACGACGTGGTGTCCTGGAATTCGCTGGTCCTGGGGTACGCTGAGAATGGCGAGCCGGAAGCAGCAATGGACGTCTTCGATCGCACGAAGAGAGTATTTCACGGTTGACAATCGGACCTATGTTGCGGCCCTCATGGCGTGCATTGATCTGGGGGCACAGGAAGAGATCAAGCGGCAGCACGGGAAGAAATCTCTGGAAAGAATGGTGGTTCTAGAGAAGGGTCGAGAGATCCATGCTCAAGCTTCCAGCGCTGGCTATGGATCCAACATCTACGTTGCAAACACGCTCATCAACATGTACTCGAAGCTTGGGTGCCTTGCGGAGGCTCGAGAGGTGTTCGACCGGATTGGAAAGGAGGAGAAGAGCGTTGTGTCGTGGACCGCGATGATGATGGGGTGTAACGAGAATGGAGACGAGAAGGAAACGTTGGAGCTCTACAACGCCAGGGCTGTCCTCCCAACTCTCGGACTTTTGTCGCAGCGCTCATGGCCTGTGCTGGATTGGCCGAGAAAGCTGATGGGAGTGACAAGGCCGAATATCTTGAGAAGGGACGAGCGATTCATTCACAAGCTGTGAAAGGTGGCTGCGGCTCGGACGTTTTCTTCGCGAGCACTTTGATCCATATGTATTGCAAGTGTGGGAGCCTGGAAGATGCTAGAGCCGCATTCCAGCGAATGCAGCGCTTGGACGTGGTGTCCTGGAACGCTCTCATCCTGGGACACGTTGAGAATGGCGAGAGCCAGCGTGCACTCGAGATCTTCGGCGGCATGAAGAGGATCGAGAGACATCGCCGCTGCTCGCCGAACGCTCGGACTTTCGTTGCTGCGCTCATGGCCTGCTCCAGGCTGGCTGCAAAAGAAGCTGGCAAGCAGGTTGACGGGAAGCTCGTGAAGACGGAGAGTTTGAAGAGAGGGATGGATGTACATTCGCAAGCGGTGCAGTGTCGCTGCGAAACGGAGCTTTTCGTGGCCACCACCTTGATCGACATGTATTCGAAGTGCGGGAGCATGGTCGAAGCCCGAAAGTGCTTCGACAAGATGCCCAGCCACAACGTCGTTACGTGGAATTCTCTCATCCTGGGCTACGCGGAGAACGGTGACGGTGAACAGGCCTTGCAAGCCTTCCGGCGGATGAAAGCCAACAAACGTCTCGTGCCGGACACTCGAACTTACGCTGCAGTGCTGATGGCCTGTGGCAGCATGGCGTCGCTTGAAACCGCGAGAGACGTCCATAGCGAGATTCGTGGTCTCGGGCTCGACCAAGATGGATTCATCGCCAACTGCTTGGTGGACTGCTACTGCAACTGTGGGAGCTTGGAAGAGGCAAAACAGGTTTTTGACGCGCTGGGCAGCAAGAACGTTGTCTCCTGGAGCTCGCTCATAGCAGGATACAGCCGCCACGGCCACGTAAAACAGGCTCTCGACTTGTTCCAGAAGATGCAAGACGGTGGCTTCCAGGCGGACAAGATGACCTTCACGTCCATCCTCACGGCTTGCAGCCACGCCGGACTGGTGGAAAAAGGGAAGGAGCTGTTCGAGCTTATGGCCTCCAAGCACGGCGTGGAGCCGGACATGGACCACTACCACTACATGATCGATCTTCTAGGCCGCGCAAACCATCTGGAGGAGGCAGTGGCGATGGCGGAGGGGATGCCGTTTGATCCAAATGCCGTGACTTGGAAGACGGTGCTGGGGGCGTGCCAGAAGTGGAACAACGTCCGGATCGCGAGGGTGGCGTTTGAGAGGCTGCGGCAAGTCGACGGGGAGCAAGCGGCGCCGTACGTTCTCATGGCAAACATCTTTGGAAGCTCGATCTCGTCCAGCGACAAGTCTTGCTCCCACTGCTCGACGAGGAAGACTTAAGGTACCAGTTGCTTTATTTTCCTGAAGTTTAATTTGATTTTTTGATGCAAGAGTAACAAATCAAGTTGTCTTCGTCGGAACAGCAGTTCTCTATAATATGGCGATGGCCTGTGGATCCAGAGCATCAAATCGATGGACTTGGGTGTGGCCTTGTTCCTCCTTAGCGTCGGCTTGACCACACTGTCACTTCTCATCGGGAGAATTCTATCTTCGCAGCGGCGGCTCCCTCCAGGTCCCTTCTCTTTCCCCATTTTTGGAGCACTCTTCTCCCTCCAGGAGCCACTCCACCAGCACTTTGCGAAGATCAGCAAGAAGTATGGGCCGATTGTCTTCCTCAAGATCGGAATGGTCCCGTTTGTGGTGGTGACCGACAAGGAAATGGCAGCGCAGATTCTTAAGGCCCACGACCTCGAGTTTTCAAGCCGGCCGGACGAAGAGTTCTTTCGGATCGTCAGCCACGACTGGAACGATCTTATCCTGGCGCCCATCGGTGATAAGTGGAAGACAATGAGGAGGATTTGTAGCACACACCTGTTTAACAACAGTACGCTAAAGGCTAGCGCAGGATTCCGGGAGTCGGAGATGAAGCATGCAGTCAAGGCCATTTTCCAGCAATCCGGGACAACGATCAAGCTGCAAGAGGTTTTGAGCAATCTCATGTCAAATTCACTATGCCTGGTTCTTTTTAGCGAGCGGGGGGTGGAAGTGGTGGATGTCATCCAGAACATAGTCAGTCTATGCTTGAACTTGAACATTGGAACCCTGCTTCCGGCACTCGACTGGCTGGATCTTCATGGAGTCTACAAGAAGCTCAACACGGAGCTCGTGCCTCGCCTGAAGCTCCTGCTGGAAGATCAAATCGACAAGCATCGACGCAGGAAAGATGAAGCTGGGGATACATTCGTCCCTCAGGACTTCACAGACGTTCTTATATCTCTCGAGGACAAGGATAAGCTGCCAAACATCTCCATCTTGGCACTGCTCTCGGTAAGCATCTAGATCGTGGTCGTGTGATCACTGAAAAACTCTAGTTTTGCGTCAGGACATGGTTATGGCAGGGTTGGAAACTTCACTAGTGACGCTTGAGTGGACGATGGCGGAGCTCATAAACCATCCCCATGTCATGTCCAAGGCTCAAGAGGAGATCGACAGCGTTGTAGGAACAGCTCGCACGGTGCAAGAGTCCGATCTTCCAAACCTTCCATACATCGAAGCCATTGTCAAGGAATCACTGCGTCTCCACCCTGCGGCCCCACTGGGAGTTCCTCACATGAATCCCAAGCCTGTCAAGCTGGGAGGCTACACCATCCCTGGCGGCTGCAAGGTTCTCGTCAACATATGGGCCATTGGACGTGATCCCGCTCGCTGGTCTGACCCAGAAGCGTTCCAGCCGGAGCGCTTTCTCGGCTCCTCCATCTCTCCCAACGGGCAGAACTTTGACTTCCTTCCATTTTCATCGGGGAGGAGAGTTTGTGTTGGCTATCCACTCGCGATGAGATCGATCCCGTTTTTCGTGGCCAGTTTGCTCCAGGCATTCAATTGGAGTCCTGCTAACCCGGGCGGGATCGACATGGAAGAATGCACGAGAAGTATAACAATGAAGCTGAATGCTGACTTGCTTGTAAACGCGTCCATCAGGGTCGATCAAAATATAATATAAAGCTTTCGTTGTCAAGCTATAGCGTTGGAGAGGTGATCGTGTAGATGTTTCAGATAACAATATAAATACAAATACTAAGTCCAATGCTCGATGTTAATAGCAACAGCTAGTACATTAGGCAATCCTGAACAGAGTAGATGTATATGTAGTGAAACTGTTAAAGCTCTAGGGGCCTCCTACAAGCCTCGATGGGCATCCAAAAGTCGCAGCAGCCGACGGAACGGTGATGCGGTTGTTTACATTGAAAGTCGTTGGTTTTCTCACGCTGATTTTCTTCCAGGCGAATTAGTTCTCCCGAACCGCAATACCAGTGAGTTTAGAGCACTTCAAGTATGAAGTCTTCACGATTGTACCAGGCAAGGTCAGCATTTTCACCAAGATCTCCAGGAAATTTTAGTTAAAACTCTTCATTTGCTCGTGGAAGACTTGGTGTTTGCTCCAGCTTTGTGGATTCTGCGAGTGCGTAATCCAGGGACGTGATCAGGAGTCAAATATGTGATTGATGGAAGTGGGGACGTAGTGACTGTGAAAATCACAGTCCGTGGCTGTGGTGTGTTTGGAGATTACTCCTCCAAGCGGCCAAAATCAGTGACATTGGAATCGTCTGGAAACCTGGACTTTTTCTCTGATTCCAACACTGGATTCGTCATATTGCTACTATCTACAGGAAAGCGAATATTATTTTAGGGCTCATGCGAGCGTCCGATCGCCAAGAACAGCACGATCTAGCCGCCGAGAAGAGCATCGTAGGTCTTTCTAGGCAGTGAAGTCGTGTAGCAGCGCCAGGGATCCCCAGGGATCCCCGCTGTTGCCAATGGCCTTGTCTCGAGGTCAGTATCCTTGCGAAATGCGGCAGCGTGGCGGATTCTCGCGCCACGACGTGTTGTCCTGGAATTCCCTGGTCCTGGGGTACGCTGAGAATGGCGAGCCGGAAGCAGCAATGGAACTCTTCGATCGCATGAGGAGAGAGGGTTTCACGGTTGACAATCGGACCTATGTTGCGGCCCTCATGGCGTGCATTGCTCTGGGCGCACAGGAAGAGATGAAGCGGCAGCACGGGAAGCAAGCTCTGGAAAGAATGGTGGTTCTAGAGAAGGGTCGAGAGATCCATACTCAAGCTTTCAGCGCTGGCTATAGATCCAATATCTACGTTGCAAACACGCTCATCAACACGTACTCGAAGCTTGGGTGCCTTGCGGAGGCTCGAGAGGTGTTCGACCGGATTGAAACATCTTTGGAAGCTCGATCTCGTCAGCGACAAATCTTGGGGCCACGTGATCATGCAACCTGGTGTTTTATCCTGGAATCACGATTCTGTTTGCATTCATTGGAAGGCCAGTTCTCTGCCATCACCCATATCTCTATAATATGGTGATGGCAGAGTGGGTGACACCAGGCACATTGAAAGTGGAGCCAGCAGAAGACATAAGCCGCAGCCCAAGCTGCTTATTTAAATCCCGGGGTACCATGTAAAATGTGCTCTTAGGACCTATAAAATGATTTGATTATAGGGGCCAACATATGCAAGGGCATCAATTTTTGCCATGCAAGACAGTATCACTTCACTTTTCCATGCACGCTGATGTTTTATATCTTCTGGAATCAGGAACACGAGAATCACGATGCTGTTTGCTATATATGGCGATGGCATGTAGATGCAGACCAGTGAATCGATGGACTCGGTTGTGGCTTTGTTCGTCCTCGCCATCGGCTTGATCACCCTGTCACTTCTCATCGGGAGAGTCGGGAGAGTCGGGAGAGTTCAATCGTTGCAGCAGCGGCTCCCTCCAGGTCCATTCTCTTTCCCCATTTTTGGAGCGCTCTTCTCCCTTAAGGAGCCACTTCATCACCACTTTGCGTTGATCAGCAAAAAGTATGGGCCGATTGTCTTCCTCAAGATCGGAATGGCCCCGTTCGTGGTGGTGAACGACAACGAAATGGCAGCACAGGTTCTTAAGGTCCACGACCTCGAGTTTGTAAGCCGGCCGGACGACGAGTACTTCCGAATCGTCAGCCAGGATTGGAACGATCTCGTCTTGGCGCCCATCGGTGATAAGTGGAGGACTATGAGGAGGATTTGCAGCACACACCTGTTTAGCAACAATATGCTCAAGGCAAGCGCAGGATTCCGGGAGTCGGAGATGAAGCATACAGTCAAGTCCATTCTCCAGCAATCTGGGACAACGATCAAGCTGCATGAGGTTTTGAGCAAGCTCTTGTCAAATTCGCTATGCCTGGTGCTTTTTAGCGAGCGGGGGCTGAAAGTGGTGGATCTCATCCAAAACATAGCTGCTCTAAGCTTGAACGTGAACATCGGAACCCTGCTTCCGGCACTTGACGGGCTGGATCTTCATGGTGTCTACAAGAAGCTCAACACGGAGCTCGTACCTCGCCTTAAGCTCTTGCTGGAAGATCAAATTGACAAACACCGGCGCAAGAAAGATGAAGCTGGGGACAGGTTCGTCCCTCAAGACTTCACCGACGTTCTTATATCTCTGGAGGACAAAGATAAGTTGCCAGACATCTCCATTTTGGCACTACTCTGGGTACGAAGTTTTACCAGCATCTAGTTAGATCTTGGTCGTGATCTCTTAAAGCTCTCTTTTTTATTGCGACAGGACATGGTTGTTGCGGGGCTAGAAACTTCACTAGCGACGCTCGAGTGGACGATGGCGGAGCTCATAAACCATCCCCGAGTCATGTCCAAGGCTCAAGAGGAGATTGACAGCGTTGTAGGGAGAGCTCGCGCGCTGCAAGAATCAGATCTTCCAAGCCTTCCATACATCGAAGCCATTGTCAAGGAATCACTGCGTCTCCACCCGGCGGCCCCATTGGGAATTCCTCACATTAATCCCAATCCCGTCAAGCTGGGCGGCTACACCATCCCTGGCGGCTGCAAGGTTCTCGTCAACATATGGGCCATTGGACGCGATCCCGCTCGCTGGTCCAACCCACTAGCGTTCCAGCCGGAACGCTTTCTCGGCTCCTCCATATCTGTGAACGGGCAGAACTTTGATTTTCTTCCATTTTCATCTGGGAGGAGAGTTTGTCCTGGCTATCCACTGGCCATGAGATCGATCCTGTTTTTCGTGGCCAGTTTGCTCCAGGCATTTGATTGGAATGCTGCTAACCCGGCTGGGATCGACATGGAAGAGCGTACTAGAAGTATGACAACAAAGCTCAAGGCTGACTTGCTTGTAAATGCGTCCATCAGGGTCGATCAAAATATAATATAAGCATTGAAGACCGCCTTGGCGCCTATTAACTATGCGAGATGGAACGGATGACGGGAGACCAAGACCAAGATGGCGAAGACCATGAGTGATGAGGGTAGGTCCCATTTTCCTCAGTCGTGCACAGGCCTTTATATTTATCTGACCATGTAATAAAACAGGACATGTGATAAAACTGTTGCGCTGAGCGTGATCGTTTAGACTGAGGTTATGAACTTCTCGCTTCAAAACTTGAATGTTGTTGACAGAGCCTTTACTTGGCTCACTGTTATCTTGATCTTCAAGAGTTTGAGTTTGTTCAGCCGACAACAATACTGGACTGGTCCTTTCGTTGATGTGGAGTGCTGAATTTTGAATTTTTTTCATAGAGCAATGCAAGCTCCTCGTTTCTTCGCATGAGTTGTTTCAGTGAAAACAGAAACGCGCGTTTGCCAGTTCTCTATAATATGGCTATAATCACAGACCTTCACATGCCCAACATATGCAAGGGTTGCTCTATGAAAAAAATTCAAGCAGATCGAAAGGACCAGTCCAGTATCAAAAAAATTATCATTTAAATTGCCTTTCACAACATTGTACTTTTAAATCTTTACCACTAGGTGACCCTTATATTGTTGAATGTTATGTCTAAGCTCTAAAGTGGCAACAAGCTATTCATCATCAGGTTTAGACCATTCCTCTAAGTCATCAGCTTCATCATCAACATGAGTCTTAAGTACTTGAACTATCATGCACTTGTAAAAATCTTCAAAATTCTAAGCTTATGTCCATTTATTTCTTGGTAAAGCTACTCTAAGGGAATCTAGCAACCTTTTTGCTCCTTCAAGCCAACTTCCACGGGCTTGGCATTCATCTTGCCCCCATTTCCTTCCATTGTCGCAAATGTATTGCCTAGCCTCCATAAGAAGGATGATCACCTTCTCATCAGTCTTGACACCTATATAATATATATTTTACATGAGTTAATCTTATATTTACCCCTTCCCCTCCCAACAATAGCCCAGCTAGGGCTGCCCACCTTCAATCTCCTATTTGCCTGTATAGTCACTTAATTTAGCTGGAAAGTTTATCCTATATATTTGACTTTCTAAGTTGTGACCAAACAGGTTCTTGCTTTTTATGAGCTGCAACAAACTTTAAGGCCAAATTTACTTTCATTTCAACTACATGATTTATATAGTTAGCATTGGCTTTACAAAAATTGAAGGAAACCGTCTTTAATGGATTAAATGCAGCCAATGCAAACTTAGGGCTAAAGCATATGGAGCTTTATCAAATTTTGTGATAAATAAGGTAGAACAACAAGGGATGTGAGTTGGAAGATTAGTGATTTTGCCATAATTTTGTTGAGGGTCCAAGGCAAATGAATCAAAATTATCAGAATGCTATGAGTATTGTTAGAAAGTATGGAAAATTTAGCATATTTATCACTTTTACATGAAATCCTAAATGCCAAGAAATTTCAGAAAACTTGTTGCCTAGACAGACCACATATAATAGACCTGATTTAGTAGCTCAAGTGTTTTATACAAAAAAAATTAAATTTGATAGAAGATATATACAAATACAGTATTTTAAAGATATTAATAGTAATGTATATGTTATCGAATTTCACCACATTGTTATATACTTATGATTTTAAGGAGTGAGAATAAAATAAGAACTATAGATAACTATAGATAATATTGTGTGTGTGTGTGTGTTGGAGCCTAATGGAAACATCACATGTGATTTGATGTTTTCTTTCAAATGGTTTGTTAATTTATGAGCTCTCCTTCTCTTCTAAGATGAATGACATGAGCAGCTCGAGCAGATGAAAACAGTTGATGGGGAGTTGACATGTGACTATTGTCACTCTCATTTGTTTTCCACAGGCATAGTCTTACTTCAGCTCGTGTTGAATGCTCTCGAGATGAGGCAGATGCAACATTTGCAAAGGAAAAGCTGGCGTTGATGACGCAAGAGTATGAAAGTCGGTGATATTCGTGCATTGCTGTCATAGAAATTGCAAATTCTAGCGATTACAAAGGAGCTCAATACTCAAGAGAAACGTGGAGCTTTCTCAATCTGTAACTGATTACCAACATAGGCTCAGAGAAAGCACTCAAAACGTCCAAAGAACCGAAGATGAAGCAAGAAGGTTCTCGATAGAGGTAAAAGAAATTCAATCGGACACTCAACCTGCTCAAGTGAAGACACTCCTACAATTACAGATTGGATGGCCTGTGTAGGCCCTCATGACCTTTATAAATAGCCTACAATGTAATGTAATGCTTGGATGGCGGGCTTCATCTTTGAGTATGTGAAATCCGGTAGGTTGCTGTGCAAGCATTGCAAGCTCAAACTTGCCAAGGGCGATCGGCATTGTGAGCAAGGGCGTCGGAATTGACATGACTGGTAAAGATTTTCCATTCTTTTCTAGCAATTTCTTTCTTTTCTTCTTCTTGCGGAAGGCATCACTCCAAATGCATTTTGGAGATCCAAGCTCTCCTGTCGTGGGCGTTCTCAAGGCCAAAGGTTCGCTGCATTGAAAGTACTTTTTTTTTGCAGAATGCGACGAGACAAGAGAGCTTTCTGATTTGTACAGGCTTCGGATCAAACTATTATGAAGGATATGCTACAGGGAAAATACTAGAGCGCTCATGCCCATGAAGAGGTCCTGCGCGTCTTTGGTGTCTCTGAGGGGAAAGCTGTTGTGCCGAGGGAAACTCGACAGCTTTGGCATGTGAAGTTGTCCAGCTTTGAGCCATCTCAATTCCCTACATGCTACAAGGTTTGCGTTTTGCATTTAACGCTTTTGATTGTATTAATCTTTCAAGACGCATAGGATGTATCTCTGCCCGTTGGGAGTCATTTTACTCGTTAACAATGTAAGCTTCTCTTACGATAATGCACCGGATCATGGTACTTTTACTCGATTTGCAGCTAGATAATAGTGGAATGTTGTCGGTTGCAGCTTTCAACTTTGACAGCTGCCTTGTGAACACTGATGTGAAAAGGAAAAGCTACAGGCCTGCCACGAAGAGGGGTATAAACTGTGAAGTGCTTGCTCATTGCTTTCACTTGTTCTTTTTTGTGTTAGGTGGTGTCCACAAACGAGTCCAACATTGGTAGGTGGTCATGTCCCAACTTGAGGGTGTGAAGCGAGGCAGCTTGAGGCTTGCAACATCTCTTGCAAGCGCTTTGAGAATGCTGGGGCAACTGGAGCTTTGGTAAGGAAATCTTACCATCGCCAATGCTTTTGTCTTCCAGATTCCACTGTGGAAAAATTGTGATTCGCTACTGGTTTGATGGTGACGGTTTTACAAATTCCTAGAGTTTGGATAGGAAAGTAAGTTGGTTTATTTCAACGGTATTCCATGATCTTTTGATGCCTTTCAGGAATCTTATGAAACAACTCAAAATTCAAAAAAAAATTCAAATCTGTTGGGACTTGCTTCAAGCTTTTAATAAGAGTAAGCTTAACTTATAATTTAGGTTGTGTTGAGAGTTGTTTTCAAACATTATTATGACTTTAAACATTTTTAAATTTTAACACAGACAATTAAAGACTCACATGTGAATAATTTGCCATATCTAATCCAGTATGCACAAATTCAGTGAATGAAAGGAATTATGGTAAGAAAAATTTCTTTGGGTTTGCATCTATTGTAATTATTGAAGGTATCTCTATCTCACCTATCTCAAGGTATTGAACGTAATTTTGCTCAACATTTATATAAAGACAAATATGGACATGTATGGGATCTGGCATTTCAAAATGTTGCCATTAGATAAAGTATATATGATTATTATCAAATCATATTAGATGACTTTGGATGCATATGCTATTATAGATTTTATAGTGAATAAAACTTGCAATTTTAAATTTTAGTTTATAATTAATTAGAATATATATAAGTATAATTATAGAATGGCTAGAGATTTAAATTCAAAACAGAGAAAGATGACCCAGTTATACTTTGCCACATTATAACTGCCTCAAGATCATTTTGAAGATAAATGACATAACACAATATGGACTATAAGAAGTTGATGCAAATAGTGGAAATGAATAAAAGGATACTGTGATTATCCCACTAGAGCTTCTTTTAGACACTCAAAATTGCATTCTTTTGGTGGCTGAGGCAAGCACAAATGTTTGTTGATGTTGATAATCTAAGGTACCTTTGAAAACACCATGACCCTTGTATAAAAAGACTACAAAAATTTAATATACCTTAGCATAGATAATCCTAAACAAAAAATATATAGCTATTAAATTAAAATAAAAAGTAATAGTGTATCAGTTGAGCACACTCTACTACATCATCAAAAAATTGACATAACTATAAGAATCAATCAATCAATACTCAGAGCAGCAGTATAACTCAGAAATAAGCTATGTCAAATATTTATTAGAGCATATTTTGATGTAAGATATATACAGATTCAAAATGTTTTCTTATGTATTTTGAATCTTTGGAACCTTTTCAATTTCAATTTTACATTCAAAAAGTTTTAGGAGGCAAATACTTTTTAGGATGGCTTCTTATATCTCTGTTTTTTTATAGGTCCCATATAAACTCCCATGTTTCTACAGGTATTGTTTTTTATAATTTTCCTTTTAAAAAAGTTTTTATATTTTAGATAATGGTATAAAATTTTATGTCAAGAACATATATAAAATATATTCATGAATATTGTAATATGTTAGATCTAATTTCATAAATATTTTATAAAAAATATATTTTATAATACAAGAGAATGAAGAAACATCAATGTAAATAATAAATAAAATAACCTTATGTTTTATTTATTGATAAGTCATTATATAACATTGAATAAAGTAACATATACAAAATAAAATAGTATTATCGTGAACACATATTAATTTGTTAGATCTATGTATGTGTATAATCATGATCTCATTTATATAATTGCTGAATAATAAGTAGTATTGACAAATTTATTACTAATATATTTTAAGTTTTCTAGATTTTTAGTAATATATGATTTTAATCTTTGGCTAGAGACAATATTGTAGAAAATTGTCAAAAATTTTAAAATTTCCCAAGGATTTTGAAATTATACCTTTCATATATAGCTTACTAGCATGATATCACCTAATTATAATCTTGATGAAGCATGGTTTATTATTTTCTTTATCAATCTGGATATTTAATTGGGAGCTTTTCTACTACATTCTAGCCTAAATCACTTTTATTGAGAAGTTTATATAAACCAGTCTATTTAGTATTTTAATCTTGTATTTCTATTCTCTATCTTTCTTGTATCATTCTTACAAATATGACACATAATTGTGTTCTATTTGGAAACCATTAACTTCTATATTTTTTAAAACTTAATTTACCCTTTTGAACTAGCTGGATATTTTAGTCATGCTTAGGTAACAACTCTCAGGGATTGAAATAATACAATTGCAGAAAAAAACTCTAGAGCAATATCAAAAACTTTATACGAACTATGTGTCACTATTAAAAGAAAAGATCAAATTTATGTAAAGCTGCTGGCAGATTAAATAAGGTTATGAGCAAGAAGGCTAATAGAAAATATAAAGGAGGATTTGATATTAGCATGTGTATGAGATAGCTTATACCTATTACATACCAAGAATCATTCTCTATTGTCATGGGGTTTAATATAAATGTGGTATTAATTAGGATAAATTTACTTAGTGGGTTTAATAATAATGCAAAGCTCAGGTAGTGAATTTGAATATTAAAATATAAGAATTTAAAATTAGGCTTGTAAAATGTTATTAGTTAAAAACCAGATAATGGATTTAGTATTTGAAGCAAGAAAGAAAATATAAAGATATTGCTACTCTTTTGAAATATATATTAGTATTAATATTAAAAAAGTAATTTAAATTTTACTAATTAGAGAAATATTTATTTAGTGTTATATACATTTGAAAGAAGAAATTATTGAGGATATATCAAAATATTTGTATTTTTATAAGTTCTCATTTGATGTTGTCAAGATTGCATGGAGTTATGCATCTAAGTCGACTATGAGAATTGGTCATCCCTTGCTGAGTGTGGCAAAGTTTCTTGAGTTAGAGTTCTCCTTGTTTGATATCTCCTACCCGGTTGTAAGTTCCTTAACGCAATGCTCCTAACTGCCATGGAATCAAAGATGTGCTGGTTGTGTTTTTTGCTCTCAATATACAGACTTCAAGAGACTTGTGTTGGTTTGGGCGAAGCCCATTTCCATAAGAATGGAACTAGCTCATTGCTGCTAATCCAAAACCAGTTTTGTCATGTTCAGTAGCATCACCACCATCACAAGGATCACTATGCAAAGCCACCATTGCTAAAATCTGAGCAGGGCGAAAGGAGAATCTGGCAGGCAAAGGATGAGGCTGGGAATTGTGAAATCTTGTGCTCTTGTTGTGGCAGGTTGAAGGTAAGGACTTTGTTCTTTGTGTTGTTTGAGAGTTCTAAGTGAGTTTCTGGTTCTTCCTCATTTTTTTCTCTCTTTTGTGTTTGGTAGTATGCTGGTGTAATGAAAAAGAGACACCACCTACAAGATTTGTCAGCAGGTACATCATCTGTCATCATGTTTGCTGATTTCAATCATTCTTTAGTTTTGAATGCAACCGAGTTAGAGTTCCATTCCTGAGAGTTATGACACAACACTTAAGAACTTATCTGCAAATGTGGATTTCTACACAAGGGTCACCAACTTGTCGCTGCTTCTGTAGCTGCATGATGTTTGTGATTTTCTTGCTCAAGCTGGCTATGAGAAAAAACAAAAGTTGTAGAAGGCATAGTTTAGAATCAAAGCTGTAAGTCTCAGTAGTAACTGGTAGTAGTAACAAGGTAAGGAACTTTGTTGTTCATGCCGGCTGAGATTTTTAAGCAAGTTTCTAGCTTACCTTGCTCTTATTCAATGATTCTTTTGATCATTTTTTTTTGCTTTTTCATTTTCATAGTGTCTAATGCCTCACCTTTGTTTTGCAGCCTTTTAAATGCTACACAGCACCAATCCAATCTCTTGCCACTCCTATTGCTCTCTCCCTGATGACCACTTGAGGTTTGTGTAGTCTTTTACTTCACGTGCTCGCTTGATTCCTTAAAATTGTGCTTAAAAACTTAACTATGAATGTGAATTTCCACAGAAAGGTCACCAAACTGTCACTACCACCATCACTGCATGATGTCCATGATTTTGTGGCTCAAACCTATCATAAGAAAAACTAGTTAGTGCAGGAAAGAAATGACTAGAAAGAAATGAAAGACTTGCAAACCTGGTAAAGCTGTAGAATACACAGATTGGAATTAAAGTTATAAGTCTCAGTAGCAACCTATAAAATTACATGCTAAGAAAAAGCAAAAAAAAGAAATAAATTGAACAATTACAATTCCAACTACATTTTTTCAAATTGAAAATATTCTCTATTGGATCCTTGCTAGTAACAAATATTTATTACAAAAGTATGAAACATAAATGGAGAAGTATATTCTACCCTAAAAAAGTGAATGTTATCAATATATAAAGAAGTGTAATATATATTGAAACTATTAAGGGAAATCAAGTTGAAGAAGCATTTAGAAACTGTTAATATATGTGGCAAAGGGAATGTAGGGGATATTTAGTTATAATTTACATGTATGCTCATATACAATTGAAAGACTGAATATTCATTTACTAAATTTACAAAATATATATTTTAATAAGGATGAATAAGAAATTACTCTGGAAAAAAGTTGTTGTACAAAATTAATTTATATAATATTATCAAGATGTAAAATATAAAATAATAATATATATATATTGATGAATATGAAGGTTGAAGGCCTTGATGAATGAAGTAATACAACATATATGGGAAATATGGTAAACAAGAAAATATAATGAAAATAGTAAACAAGTAAATATTTATTTTATTTAAAAATAGATTTTTGTAGTTCTTCAAATAGTATAGTAAGATTCTAAGATAAACTCTTTGTTTCACTTCCAAATTCAATATAGATGATAAACTATTTCTAAACCTCATACCAGTATGATGGAGCACATCATACATTGCAAGGAGGGATCTAGGTTCAGCATTTTGCAAATAAGGATCTAGAGTAAGCAACATATGTGTTGTGATACTTTCCAAGCACTTTTTGCTCGAACTTCATATATATGGCTTCTTGATGGTCAATTTTAATAGAATTGCCTCGAAGCCTCTTGGTTGAATAGTGAAAAAGGAGACAAGCTCACAAATACCCATTGTGCAGCTAGATGTTTCTATCACACATGCTCACAAAAAAAAAAGGTAATATTTTCTCCAGTGATCTTGGGATCTATCCGAGAACAGCAACATCAGCAGCAGCCGTCTGGTATCTTTGAGGTGGAGAACATCAGAATTTCGTCCAGATGTGTTGCAGCACCAGTGAGGGTGCAGGCGCCTCCATTCTAATGGCCTCGTCTCGAGCAGCATCGTTCTGGGTGAAAAAAGAATCGTTCCTTCACACATCCAGTTGCAGTAAGTGAGGAGTGCTGATAGCTTTCAGTTTCACCGAGGCTATAAATTGCGGGGTGCAGTTCTCTTCTTTTGGTCTGCCAAAATGTGTGGGAGTGATGAAGTTTTATGTCAAAACAAAGGTGATATAAACATTACAAGGAGTACCTGGAAAAATCCCCACTCTGCACACACACAATTTTAAGGGATAACTTCCCGTGTTCGATGACACCGGCAAGCAATATGATCGAGCAGACACACGGAAATCAAAGCCATTCTGTACCAAAACCTGCGACTGCACAGCAAGAGCTATTTTGTAAGTCAGGAACTTGTAAACCATAATATCCCAAGAGTTTTGCGATAAATCCAGGGAGCTGTGATGGCTATGAGAGGCATTTCCTTTTGCTCGACTGGGTTGTTCTTTTCTATCACCAATTGCTCTCCATCTCCACTCGGAACTTGTCTTTTTGGCCGACCAAGCCCGAGTCTTACAGGTACTCAGCAGGTGCATGCACTTGCAATTTACAAAGAGTCTCCTTGGAAAGATTTCAGAAACGCTTGGCCTCGATGGCGGCGAGTCCGACTTCCTGGAGATAAAGTTTGGAGAGTGCATCTACTAGACTATTCGGGTTACAAACCATTACCGTCCGTATCACTATGCTGCTCCAAGACGACTCCAGATTTTGCAGATCAGATTTACTATCATTTTTCTAAGAGTCCTTACCTCTTTCTCTTCAGATAATAACCAAGCCGTGGTGAAGACCGAACGCTTATCTTGGGCAATGTTTCAAAGCCCGTTACTCGATATGCTCGTTGCTCCTGCTGTGAATCCCGGGTTCGGGCAGTACAGGTCGAGCTTCCTCAACAAATGAGTTTTCATTTCAGGAATTTGGAAGCTGAGCAGGCACTGCATGGAAAATAGCCTCGACCCATTTCTCTACACTTTTCTCCCGAAGATTAAGAGCTGGGGTCTCAGCTCCCCCCGGCCTTTGCACCGATGATGATAGTGTGTAACGAGAATGGAGGCGAACGGCAAGTTTTGGAGCTCTTCTTGGCCATCTGGAAGAGGCAGCGGTGTCACAAATCTCTAAGGTACCAGCTGCTTTATTTTTCCATGCACGTCTCCTGGAATCTCGAGCAAGAGTATCACGATTCACATCACGCTTGTCTTCATTGGAACGCGAGTTCTCTATAATAGGGCAAGGCCTGTAGATCCAGGCTAACGAATCGATGGACTTAGATGCGGCCTTGCTCGTCTTCGGCATCAGCTGCATCGCACTACTACTTCTCATCCGGAGAATTCGATCGCCACAACAGCGGCTCCCTCCAGGTCCGTTTTCCTTCCCCGTTTTTGGAGCGCTCTTCTCCCTCGAGGAGCCACTCCACCACCACTTTGCGAAGATCAGCAAGAAGTATGGGCCGATTGTCTACCTCAAGATCGGAATGGCCCCGTTCGTGGTGGTGAACGACAACGAAATGGCCGCAGAGGTTCTTAAGGCTCACGACCTCGAGTTTCCAAGCTGACGACGAGTTCTTCCGGATCGTCAGCCACGACTGGAACAATCTCATCATGGCGCCCATAGGTGATAAGTGGAAGGCAATGAGGAGGATTTGCAGCACACAGCTGTTTAACACTACTATGCTCAAGGCAAGTGCAGGATTCCGGGAGTTGGAAATGAAGCATACAGTCAGATCCCTTTTCCAGCAATCTGGGACAGCGATCAACCTGCAAGAGGTTTTCAGTAACCTCTTGTCAAATTCAATATGCCTGGTTCTTTTTAGCGAGCGGGGACTGGAAGTGGTGGATCTCATCCGAAAAAGCTTGAACTTGAACATTGGAACGCTGCTTCCGGCACTCGACTGGCTGGATTTTCATGGAGTCTACAAGAAACTAAACAACTTGCTCATTCCTCGCCTGAAGCTCTTGCTGGAGGATCAAATCGACAAGCACCGACGCAGGAAAGATGAAGCTGGGGACAGGTTCGTCCCTCAAGACTTCACCGACGTTCTTATATCTCTCGAGGACAATGATAAATTGTCAGACATCTCCATTTTGGCACTGCTCTCGGTATGTTTTACCAACATCCCGTGATCTCTCATGTTTCCTTCTTGCGACAGGACATGGTTGTTGCGGGGCTGGAAACTTCACTAGTAACGCTCGAGTGGACAATGGCGGAGCTCATAAACCATCCCCGAGTCACGTCCAAGGCTCAAGATGAGATCGACAGCGTTGTAGGGAGAGCTCGCACGGTGCAAGAGTCCGATCTTCCAAACCTTCCATACATCGAAGCCATTGTCAAGGAATCACTGCGTCTCCACCCGGCGGCCCCACTGGGACTTCCTCACGTGAATCCCAAGCCCGTCAAGCTGGGTGGCTACACCATCCCTGGCGGCTGCAAGGTTCTCGTCAACATATGGGCCATTGGACGTGATCCCGCTCGCTGGTCCGACCCAGAAGCGTTCCAGCCGGAGCGCTTTGTCGGCTCTTCCATCTCTCCCAACGGGCAGAACTTTGATTTCCTTCCATTCTCATCGGGGAGGAGAGTTTGTGTTGGCTATCCAATCGCGATGAGATCCATCCCATTTTTCATGGCTAGTTTGCTCCAGGCATTCGATTGGAGTCCTGCTAACCCGCGCGGGATCGACATGGAAGAGCGCTCGAGAAGTATGACGATGAAGCTCAAAGCCGACTTGCTTGTCAATGCGTCCATGAGGCTCAAATGTCAAAATATAATATAATTGAGCTTTGAAAAAATTCCAGATTTTTCTATCATTGATTTTGGCCGTAATCTCCAAACATACCACAACCACACTTTCATTGTTTGTGATCGCGTAATCCAGGCACTGCACAAGCAAAGGAGAGTTCTTTTCTTGCGTACGTGGGCCGTTGGATTTGTTGCATCCGACGGTGGATGGTTTCTAATTATAACTTATGATTGGATGGTGGGGAAAAAGAATGTGGGTTCGATCACTACGTGCTAGCAAATATGTCAAGGACAGGGCGGGAGCAATCCAAGTGCCGAATTCCACAGCATGAAATGCAGTGCCTGCTTTGGATTGACAACCCATCTGGCGATCGAGAGGCCTGGATGGCAGAGACAACATACTCGACGATTTAGTCTATGTCTTTTAGAATGAGCGTGGGCTTTGGATCGAAATGCAGTGCCTGCTTTGGATTTCGGCTTTGGATCGAAATGACAGTGAGAGGCCAAGATCCAAGCACGCAATGGAGGGAGGGGATGAGAAGGTGAATTCATGGTGTAGCTGCAAGCCTTTACATTTCCAGGAGAGTTCCGATCCCGTCGATCAAAGCTACACCAAGGTCATTGTTGTGCGAAAACTGAAGCAGGCAACGTCCCACAAATTTTTGTTTTTGCCCCAGCACAGCTCTTTGCTGACAGGGAGCAAAGCTTACACATTTGTGAGCTGCCTTCGTGCTCTACATTCAAGCTTTTTCCTAGAGCCTACAAAACTACAGTGAACAGAGGTGTTGGATGCATGGCGGACACCTCACAAATCCGTGTATTGAAAACTTGATACGCATAGAGGTGCTGGAAGATCCTAAACGAAGTTGGCGATCCCACCAAATGTCTCGATAAGAAAGTAACCTTAAGATCAGCGTTTAAAAAACTCTTTTTGCGTCTAAGTAAATCAACTGATTCACCTGAAGAAAATCGGCATCTCAACCAATGAAAGAAACTACTTCCCCAAAGAAAGAGAGGGTTGTAAGCCAGAGAAGCAATCTGAATACTGCGTGATGCTCATTTTAAAAGGTCGAACAATATCATTTGGAAATCGAATATTATTTTCGGTCTATGGCGCTGGGTTAAGAGCAGCAAAATCTAGCCGCCGAGAACAGCAACATCAGCAGGTATCCTGGAGAAGAGGGAATTTTTGCCAGCAAGTTAAGTCGTGTAGCAGCGCCAGGGATCTCCGAGAGGGCAGGCACCTCCATTCTAGCGCTGCTGCCAATGCAGGGCCAATGCATCGCCGTGGCAAGTGCGATGGTCAGTCGCAGCCCTCATGGCGTGCATTGGCGAAGAGATCAACCAGCAAAAATCTCTGGAAATAAATGGTGGTTGTAGAGAAGGGGTGCTTGTAGAGAGGGGGCGAGAGATCATGCACATCTACGTGTCATCAACATGTACTCGAAGCTTTGAGGTGAGAAGCGATGTGTTATGGACCGCAATAATGATGGGGCATCACGAGAATGGAGGTTGGAGCTTTTCTGGGCCATGCCAACCTTCTGGACGAAGCAGTGTAGGGAATGCTGTTCGCTCCAAACGCCGTGGCATGGAAAACGGTGCTGGGGGCCAGAAGTGGAACAACGATAGTGGCGTTTGAGGGAATAGTCGCCGGCATACATTCTCGCGTTGTCACCACTGGTGACTCACCAGCTGTTCTTTTTTACATGCAAACTGAAGTCTTACTATAGGAATCACGAGACCGGTGGATGCCAGAGATGCACTGGACCATCATTTCTCTATAATATGGCGATGCCGTGTAGATTCAGACCATCGAGTCGATGGACTTTGCTGTGGCCTTGTTCGTCCTTGCCATCGGCTGGATCACTCTATCTCTCTTCATTGAGAGAATTCGATCGTCGCGGCTCCCTCCAGGTCCATTCTCTTTGCCCATTTTTGGAGCGCTCTTCTCCCTCGAGGAGCCACTCCACCACCACTTTGCGAAGATCGGCAAGAAGTATGGGCCGATTGTCTTCCTCAAGATGGGAATGGCCCCGTTCGTGGTGGTCAACGACAACCAAATGGCAGCACAGGTTCTCAAGGCCCACGACCTTGAGTTTGGAAGCCGACCGGACGATGGGTTCTTCCGGATCGTCAGCCACGGCCGGAACGATCTCGTCCTGGCTCCCATCGGTGATAAGTGGAAAGCAATGAGAAGGATTTGCAGCACACACCTGTTTAGCAACAGTATGGTCAAGGCAAGTGCAGGATTCCGGGAGTCAGAGATGAAGCATGCAGTCAAGGCCATTTTCCAGCAATCCGGGACAACGATCAAGCTGCAAGAGGTTCTCAGCAATCTCTTGTCAAATTCGCTGTGCCTGGTTCTTTTTAGCGAGCGGGGGCTGGAAGTGGTGGATCTTGTCCGGAGCGTAGCCGCTCTAAGCTTGAACTTGAACATTGGAATTCTGTTTCCGGCACTCGACCGGCTGGATTTTCATGGAATCTATCAGAAACTCAACACGCAGCTCATGCCTCGTCTGAAGCTCCTGCTGGAAGATCAAATCGACAAGCATCGACGCCGGAAAGATCAAGCTGGAGACGGATTCGTCCCTCGAGATTTCATCGACGTTCTTATATCTCTGGAGGACAAGGATAAGTTGTCCAACATCTCCATGTTGGCACTGCTCTCAGTAAGCTTCTAGATCGTGGTCGGTATCTCTTAAAAGCTCTCTTTTATCCAGGACATGATTCTCGCGGGGCTGGAAACGTCACTAGTGACGATCGAGTGGACAATGGCGGAGCTCATTAACCATCCGCAAGTCATGTCCAAGGCTCAACAGGAGATGGACAACGTTGTAGGCAGAGCTCGCGCTGTGCAAGAGTCCGATCTTCCAAATCTTCCATACATCGAAGCCATTGTCAAGGAGTCATTACGTCTCCACCCGGCGCTCCCACTGGGATTTCCTCACTCGAATCCCAAGCCAGTCAAGTTGGGCGGCTACACCATCCCTGGCGGCTGCAAGGTTCTCGTCAACATATGGGCCATTGGACGCGATCCCGCTCGCTGGTCCAACCCAGAGGCGTTCCAGCCGGAGCGTTTTCTGGACTCCAACCCCATCCCTGCCAACGGCCAGAACTTTGATTTCCTTCCAAGGAGAGTTTGTGTTGGCTATCCACTGGCCATGAGATCGATATCGTTTTTCGTGGCCAGTTTGCTCCAGGCATTCGAGTGGAGTCCTGCTAACCCAGCCGGGATCGACATGGAGGAACGCACAAGAAGTATGACGATGAAGCTCACTGCCGACTTGCTTGTAAATGCGTCTATCAGGCTCGATCAGAATATATTGATAAATAATTAAAATGACCAAATGCCTTGACCTTTTTCTCTTCATATGCCAACCTATACCAAGCATTCGTGTACTTCAAAATTGGGATGGTTCCATATTTGTAACTAAACACCAGTGAAGAGGCATAAGTTCCTAACAATGCTGAAAATAGATGACAAATTGCTCTGGCTGTGGCATATTTAAATCCATCTCATGCTTCTTTGGGGGCATTGCAAAACCTTGTAAACAGTGTACTCATGAACGAAACAAGGAGTTCTTCAAGATAGACATCCAGTGATAAATTAATGCACCAGAAAAATGAAGAAGTTTTTATGTTTTATGTTTTATTTGATTGAAATTTTATATGTTAGTCTCATGGAATCATTGACTCGTGGATGCAAGAGAGCAATTACGATACTCTTGTCTTGATGTTTACTATAACATGGCTATAACATGGCCATGGCATATAGATCCAGACCAGCTTAGAATCAATGGACTTGGTTGTGGCCTTATTCGTCCTAGGCATCAGTTGGATCACAATATTGATCCTGGCTGGGAGAATTCAATCGTCGCAACGGCGGCTCCCTCCAGGTCCATTCTCTTTCCCCATTTTTGGAGCGCTGTTCTCCCTCCAGCATCCACTCCACCACTACTTCGCAAAAATTAGCAAGAAGTATGGGCCAATTGTCTACCTCAAGATCGGAATGGTCCCATATGTGGTGGTGAATAACAACGAAATGGCAGTTCAGGTTCTTAAGGTCCACGACCTCGAGTTTGCAAGCCGGCCGGCCGAGGAGTTCTTCCGGATTGTCAGCCACAACTGGAACGATCTCATCCTAGCGCCCATCAGTGATAAGTGGAAGAGAATGAGGAAGATTTGCAGCACACACCTGTTTAGCAACAGTATGCTGAATGCAAGCTCAGGATTTCGGGAGTCAGAGATGAAGAATACAGTCAAGACCATTTTCCAGCAATCGGGGACAACAATTAACCTGCAAGAGGTTTTCGGTAAACTCTTGTCAAATTCGTTATGCCTGGTTCTTTTTAGCGAGCGGAGGCCGGAAGTGGTGGATCTCATTCGGAACATAACCTCTCTAAGCTTGCAGTTGAACATTGGAGCCCTGCTTCCAGCACTTGACGGGCTGGATCTCCATGGAGTCTACAAGAAACTCAACAAGGAGCTCATTCCTCGCCTGAAGCTCTTGCTGGAAGATCAAATCGACAAGCACCGACGAAGGAAAGATGAAGCTGGGGACAGGTTCATTCCTGGAGACTTCACCGACGTTCTTATATCTCTGAATGACAAAGATAATTTGTCCAACCTTTCCATTTTGGCACTGCTCTCAGTAAGTTTTATAAACATCTAGATCGTGGTCGTGATCACTTTTTCTTTCTTGCGACAGGACATGGTTATTGCGGGGATGCAAACTTCACTAGTGACACTTGAGTGGACAATGGCGGAGCTCATAAACCATCCGCGGGTCATGTCCAAGGCCCAAGACGAGATCGACAGCGTTGTGGGGAGAGCTCGGGTGGTGCATGAGTCTGATCTTCCAAGCCTTCCATACATCGAAGCCATTTTCAAGGAATCACTGCGTCTCCACCCTGCGGCCCCACTGGGAGTTCCTCACATGAATCCCAAGCCTGTCAAGCTGGGAGGCTACACCATCCCTAGCGGCTGCAAGGTTCTCGTCAACATATGGGCCATTGGACGTGATCCCGCTCGCTGGTCCGACCCAGAAGCGTTCCAGCCGGAGCGCTTTCTCGGCTCTTCCATCTCTCCCAACGGGCAGAACTTAGATTTCCTTCCATTCTCATCGGGGAGGAGAGTTTGTGTTGGCTATCCACTCGCGATGAGATCCATCCCATTTTTCATGGCTAGTTTGCTCCAGGCATTCGATTGGAGTCCTGCTAACCCGGGCGGGATCGACATGGAAGAGCGCTCGAGAAGTATGACGATGAAGCTCAAAGCCGACTTGCTTGTCAATGCGTCTATGAGGCTCGAATGTCAAAATATATTATAAAAGTTAAACTTTTATAACATTTATCAACGTATTGTTAAATTAGCGTGTCATCATGTGAGGCGTTGGATGGCGTCAGGCTGTAACACGACCGTGACGCTCATCCCGCCGTCCATTTCCGCGGAAGGGAAGAGGTAGATCTTGCCCTCGTGGAGATCATTGGTCCCAAAGCTCGACCCCAGCGGCCGCCCAAATCCAAAGTCACACTCCATCACCGGATGCCGCGGGGAGCTCACGACGATGTGGAAGGGATAGATCCGGTATCGTGTGACGAGCCTTGCAATCTCTCGGTCCATGAATGCTGTGATCTTCTTGGCTCTCTGCTCGTCGCCCGCCGCGATTGCCCGGTGGATCAGCTCGGCGGCGTGGGAGAGGGGCTCTCGATCGAGCTCCTCGGCGGCGGCGCTCACCAAGGAGTAGATCACGGCGTTGCCGAAGTAGGATTCGGGGACGGATTCCATCTTGCCGCGGCCGCTGGCGAGGATGATGAAATTCGATGCCGATCCACTGGGAAGAGCTCTCGCGATCGTCATCCTCTTCCAGAAATTCGCGCACACGACCTCGTACGTGGTGAATCTCTTGCCGTCGCTGGCCGAGATGCCAGCCTCGATCTTGAGGCTCTCGATCGCGGCTCGATCCAGCTTGAAGATCTTGGTGCCAAGCGGTAGCGGCGGCATGGATTTGGCGCTCTCCAGTGGCAAGAATCCACCGGCGGCTCCAGCCGCGAGTAGCTCATCTCGATCCATGGCTGGAGTTTCTTCGTTGTAGCTGTAGAATGGACCAGGGATCTCTTTCGGGGAGAGGGAGCCCTGGTCGAGGCCGGATCTCGCGAGCTTGGCCCAGCAGGCGATGAATCTCCAGGCGCTGATCCCGTCCATGGCCTGGTGGCTAAACGCGACTCCAATGCTGAGGCCTCCACACTGGAATCTCGTCACCTAGGCACAGTACAGCCAAAAGATCTCGTCCTCTCTCGGTCTTGCAATCTTTTACCTGGACGAAGAGCAAGGGATCCTCGGGCTTCCAGGGATGGGCCGGCTCTGGGGATCCAATCTCAGACAGGGAATCACAGAACTTGGATGGCTCGAAATCCGGAGCGAGATCGCCCAGCCGCATCGATGCCTCCGCGACGCTCAGCTTCACGCCGCGATCGCTCGTGCAATCCAGCTCCAGCCCTTCGAGCGTCTCGCCGGTGGATCGCATCCGCCCGGCAAGGGGATAGAACACCACCAGCGCCTCGGCCAGGCTCCTCTTGAGATCGCCCATCACTCGAGCGAAGAGATCATCCTCCACTCCAGGCGGCGCCGCGAAGAAGAGCACGCGCTTCTGGTATGGCACGTACCTCATGATCCTGTCGAATGCGGTGAGCTCGAATCTAGCAGGAGGGATCGCCGCCGCGGGCTGGATCATCTCGCTCGAGACGATCGAAACCATATGAAAGAACAGAGTTTCTCTTTGCGAATATTCTTCTTTTATGCTTTCGAGATTAACCTGTTTAAGGGCAAAAAATGGTTTTGTTTTCCAAAAAGTTCTGTAGCTCAATTGGTCAGAGCGTTGGTCTTATGAGCCGAAGGTCGCGGGTTCGAGCCCCGCCAGAACTATTTCCATTCTCTTACAACCGACATGACTAATCAATCAGTGGATGTATTTATTTGTTCATCAATGTATCCCATCGTCTAGATTTTTTTGCTACTCTCTATTCTTTCTTTCTTCACGTAGAAGAATGGTTCGCGAGCGCGGGCGCGTGCGCCCTCAATCGATCACGCTCCAGTTCCACGCCGCCGCTCGATGCCGCGCCGGCCAGCTCGCGATCCAGATCGAGGGAAGCGACATCCAATGCACGATGGACATGCTGTTGAGCTGCAAGCTCTTGCTGCGGCGATACCATGACGGCGAGCAGCTCCTGGACTTGGATCTCCCGGGGGGAGCCAAGACATTCCACACCATCCAGAGGTACGTCCATGGCGATGCCATCACGCTCACGGTCGAGGCCGCCCTCGACCTCTACCTGGCGCTCCAGATCCTCGAGTGCGTCCTCCCGTTGCGCTCCCACTGCCGCGATTTCCTGCGGTCCACCGTCCTCGTCTCGTGGAAGACGATCGTGCGGGCGCTGCTTCTCATCGACTCACCCAGCGGCCGCTTGGATTGGTTCGTGGCCGAGTGCCGCTGCAAGCTCGTCGTGTTTCTCGAGAGCCTGGGCGTAGCCGAAATCGAGGACTGCCTTCGCATGAAGTTTATGAATCTCAGCCAGCCCCAGGTCCTGCGAGTGATCAAGCTCTTGCGGCAGCCAAGCGAGGGAGCTCGCAAGGCTCTCGCTCTCAACGAGAATCTCATGGAAGCTCTGGCCAGGATCTACCACCGCATTGGAACAAGGCCACGCCCAAACAAGGCGCAGCTCTTGCATCTCCTGGGCGATCTCATGCAGCATCCCCACCCCCGGCTCTACCACAGCCAAGGAGGCGAGGCTGAAAACTTCGCGGCCTTCCTCGCGGTGGCTCTCGCTCCACTGCGCGAGGCTCCCAGCGAGCTCCTGGAGAAGTACTCGTTGGTCCTCTCCAGGCTGCGGGCCTGGGAGATGGCGCGGCTGGATCCACACTGTGTTCTCGCGATGGTGGCGCCGTGGAACGAGCTGGAGAGGTCCACGGCCCAGGCGGGCAGAGTCTTCGCGGCCGTGGAAAGGTATGTTGGTCATGTCCTCGAGCAGGATGCCAGGGGCCACGGCCGGGACGAGCATTTCAAGAAGGTGGCAAGCTTCGTTGCCTTTGTTGCATCATCCAGTGTGGACGACTCTCACAGCAGCTTCGTGAGCGATCGTAAGAAAAAGCCAGCCACGGCCGCGACTCCAAAACCCTGCAAGCGCAAGCTGGACCTTGGATCATCCAGTGTGGACGACTCTCACAGCAGCTCCGTGAGTGATCGTAAGAAAAAGCCAGTCGTGGCCGCCGCGACTCGAAATCCTGGCAAGCGCAAGCTGGGCCTCGAAGTTATATCGATCAGTAGCGACAGCGGCAACGATTCGGAGGGTCACACCATCGCCAGGTTCAAACCCAGACCTCGTAGAAGTCTCAGAAGGAAGTCCAAAGCAATTTGACTGTAGCAGTCCAGTTTTTTATTTCTATGAAGCTTGTGATCTTTTGACAAGTCAGCTTGAACTCGAGCATGAATCTCTAGTCAATGTTAGTGCCCTCAAACTGTTCTTCGATCTCTCCTCTCATAATCTTTAGCATCTCCTCCGAGATTGAGAAGCTCCTCGTGAGCACCTCGTCCAAGACTGGGGGATCGGTTGCGAAGAGGCCGCGATTGACATGCAAGAGCCCCGGACGCTGGCTGTTGAACGAGACGAAGGCTTGCGGCCCACATTGAGCTGGAAATGCACAAGCCCCCAGGGAACACAAACAAATCTCCGCAAGTCAGGTACGTAGCATACAATTTGTAGTCCGTGTCCACGAATCCCACGTACATGAGATCGCCCTCGAAGAGGTAGAACGTCTCCGAGGCCCGGGGATGGACGTGCGGGGGATTCATCCCATGCTTGGCCGCGTAGTCTGCTCGCGCCGAGGACAAGCCCATGGTGTTCACCCCTGGAAACTCCTCCACGCTCGCGCGGGTGATCCACAATCCCAGCTCGTTGTTGGTGTTGCCGCGATTTGCGAGGCGTGAGAACTTGAAGTCGCTGGCGGTCGTGTTCTCGCTCGGCTTGCAGGGAAAGCCGTTGACTTGGATCTCCGAGTCAAGATCCGCAACGCAGTGATCCTGGAGTGGATCTGGATCGGCGGCATTGGCGAGAAGTAGCAGCAAGAGCAGCGATGCGGCGAAAAGAGAGATCATCGTCACCAAGATTGTGGCGGAAGAAAGATTGCTCGAGTTCTGTGTGGAAGGCTCTTCTTTTTAAGTACGTCAAAGTAATGATTCCCTTACAACTAAGATGATCGCGCTTGCTTGTTTCGATGCGGATGATCTCTGTGGAACGCAAAGAGCATGAAACGAAAGTTGACCATTTGCTTGTGGTTGAAAGTCAAGTCAATTGCTAGGGCGAGCGTAAGCAATGGCAATGGCGACCATGGCGCTATCCCCGTCGAGTTTCTGGGCTAGCGGGCGCTTGTCTTCTCGCAAGGCAGTCGTGCTCTCACGCCCAGTTCCAATTCACCGCAAGGTAAGCTGCTGTGCGTCTCCGGCGTCGTCATTTGAGCCGAGCAAACTGGGACTGGGAGCAAAACTCCCCGGCATTTCATCACAGGTCAGCCCTTTCTCTCGATTCTCTTGCATCCTTGCTAACATCCTCGCAGCTTGGAGCGCCTCCAGTCCCTCGCCTGGACGACCACCAGGACGTCACCGACGTGAGCTGCGATGCCACCACACTCAAGCCCTCCAAGAGCGCAAAGAGGACGCGAGCGCTCCAGGGCTGCCCTCAGAAGAGGGGCATTTGCCTGAGGGTGTCGGTGGTGACGCCCAAGAAGCCCAACTCGGCTCTCCGCAAGATTGCAAAGGTCCAGCTCTCCAACAAGAACGTCGTCAACGCCTACATCCCCGGTGAGGGCCACAATTTGCAAGAGCACTCTTGCGTGCTGGTTCGTGGTGGCAGGGTCAAGGATTTGCCCGGCGTCAAGTACCACTGCGTGAGAGGGACGCTGGATCTCACCGGGGTCGCCAACCGCAAGCAGGGAAGATCAAAGTATGGCACGAAGAAACCCAAGGACGCTCCAAAGAAGTGATACGCTTGCGTGGAAACTCGTTGACCAGGGCTGAAATCTGCCGTTGACCCTCGCGACGGTTTTTGTGAATTATCCAGAAATGGTCTTGTAACAAATTGAAAGTCCATTTGAAAGTTGGAATTTGACCACAGAATGTGTGAATTTTAAACCCATGCAACCATCCAGTCATTGGGAGTCAAAAGCCCATTTTTTTATAACGATCGATCCGAAAGATGAGATCAGATCGCCAAATCCAGCAAAAGGGTCTCCCCGGGATTTTGTTCTTGTCGTGCAATAGCAAAGCCCAATGCAGTGCGTTATAATCTAAAGCTCACTCGCTCAATCCCTCCATCGCGTTCTCTCTTTGTTTGTTTGCCTCTGTTACACAAAGAGACGAGCAAACATTCCCACTGTTAAGTGTGTGTAAGTGCCCTTCTCCATTCTCCCGCGGCCAATGGATTTGTTCGTACTGGGGTGGCGATGCGACCGTCCGTTTGAGCTTATCCGACGGATCTGCGCGTGTTGCATGCCGCCGGCGCGTCAGCTAGACACGTGTCCGCAGAGCTACACGTCAGCCCGGCAGCTGACCGGCAAGTGCCCGGCGCCAGCCGGTGGCTCGCGCTTTATGGAATCTCCACTTGGGCATTTCCTCGGGGGAATGGGTCCTGCTCATTTCGCCACTGCCTGTGCGTTGCGTCGATTTAGGGTTTGGATCTTGTGCTCTCGATTCCTCTTCTTGCCGGTGATCGGCACGGGGATTTCCTGGCATTCTCCACGGATCTTGGGGAGAATCGCCGCGAGTGAGCAGAGAATCGCAGGGATTGTCGATTCCTGTGCGATTCCGTGCTGGTTCTGGAATCTGTTGGATTCCGTGGCAGGCGCCTGGTGAAATTCTCACAGCGAGGAGCCGATCGCTCGAGATCTCAATCTATGCGCTCGTAAGTGTCTTGCAAGAAATTATCGGGGGGCGTGGGGGGAATCTCTCCTGTTCTTGCAAGATGTCGGAGATCACATTCCTCTTCCGGAGCCATCCCTTGGTCACTGGATTGCTCCTCCTCGGCCTCAGCCCGGTGTGCGTTCTCATCCTGGTGCTCTTCTCGCCGCTGCTGGTGACGTTCATGCTCTTCATGCTGGGGATCGCGGGGCTGGCCCGATCGAGGCGCCGGCTGGGGCGTCACAAGAGCCGGCGGAGGCGCTACAAGCACCGCAGCGCCGGCGATGGATTCTTCTGGGGCGACGATCTGGTAACAAGCGGGAATGAAGGGCTGGAGAGCGAGAAGCAGCAAAGGGTGAACGAGTATCTGGAAGACCAGCTCAAGAATCTCGAGGACCTCAGGCCGCTGGAAGCTCCATTCCTGGGAATGGACGACGCCTGGGCGGCTCCTCTCGATCCTTCCTCCTCTTGGGACGGATTGGACGACGACGACGACGACGGTTTCTTCCCGGACAATTGCGGCGCTCGCAGCGATGTGTCCGACCTGGGGGATGAAAACTCCGGGAGTCTAGAGGCTTGGCAGCAGCAGAGAATTGGCGGCACATAGCTTCCGGGTTCTCGTGTCGATCGAGCGCGTCGGTGGGATTTTCACTGGATCATGGTTTTGTGGGTGAGAATTTTGGCAGGATTTCTCTTACACCCCGTCTCCATCCACTTGATTTCTCAGGATCGCCGCGCCTTCAGGATCGTGTGGTGGGGTTGTGTGGACGGATTGATCAACCAAATTAAAGTCCGCGCATCGTCAATAAAAAAAATTGGGGATATTCCAGCCCTTAATTGTCAAAATCGTCGTGCACAGGCTTGTGTTGTCTCGTCTTTCTAACGCTTCGAAATTTTCTTCGCGTGTACTTGAACCAAACCATATAATCTATATAAAAAATCTCCATCGATCCAACACAAATGTCAATAAGCTGCTTTCCCAAGGAAAGTAAAACATCGCTATCATAAACGTTT